GAGATTGATTATCATACCAGATTTTGAACCTGCCTTCATTGCGCATTGTAATTAATATTCAAAATACAGTTTTAAAAAAAAACTAATTATTTTTGTAGACTGTAGAACCACAATATAATATGTAATTAAACAAAATATATTTTTGAAATGTTTATTTAATACCATTCCGTTGTCCCAATTTCCTCACCGCAGGAGTGAAAAGCCATCAGTCAAGAGTGGCAGCCGCATAATCCAGATGTTAACAGCAGACAATGGGCTCATTAACATTTCCAAAACAGCCGCATCACAAGGTGCGTGCTTGTAATAATAATAGTAATAACAGTAAAATCTGGCAACGAGCGCGAATAAAGAGGCGCAATATCAGCAGCAGCTCATCACATCTACTTATTTTTAACAAGGTGCACTGCAGCACTACTTCCTGCTTGTGCAGATTGAATTTTTAATATTTCAATCTGAACAAATAGCACGCATTAGACTGCCAAGTTTTTATTTAAATTGCCACATGGAAAATTTATTAGGTGTTCATTTGGGTTTTTATGCAATTTGTAAAATTTAGACAAACTAAATTTATCAAATTTTCCTTGTAAAACACGTACAAATCTTATTTATAATGGAAATAAAGAGGAACTATTTGGATTATGCTAATGTTTGGTAGATCATATTATGTATTATGGATTTAAATATACCTTTCTTTCAACATTAAAATTCTCATTCAATTTAACCATTTTTTTCTGTTTAGTACTACAAAAATTATTTTATTTTAATAAATTTTACTTTTAATATTAAATTATAATGAAATGACCTTTAATTTCCTGCATCGCTCTCGTCATGAATATAAATTAATGGCTCGCCACGCCTGACTGCAAAAGTTCATTTCGGAGGCGCTCCGAAATTCCGGCGGATTTCATTAATCCGAGCGTGTTGCAGCCCGCGTGTTGTTTGTCGCTGCGATAACGAAATGCAGGAATAAAGGTCTGCGAATTTTGTGTTATGCACGGCGAGGAAAGGAAGGAACGCGTGCAGAGTGACTCGCTCGGGGTTTACGGCCGCTCTCATGCAGCGACGAGTAAAAGTAAAGGAGAGAAAGACCAACTTTATGATCACACAGCAGCTTGAGGCAAGTGCTCGTAAAATCTGGTCTAGCCGAGCAACTAAGTGGTGGTGGCTGCCGAGGGGGTGGTTTTTGCCGCCCCCGTCCGGGGGTGGCAAAGCGTTTACGGCCGCTCGGGCGAAACGGCCGCTTGTTTTGTTGGGCGGGAAAAAGGACGCGAATTTTGATGAAACGCACACCGGCGGGCGGCAAAGATCTTTTTACGCGTTCGCCGGCCTTTCTGCTCGGGGGTAGCTGCCTGGTAATGATGATGAGTTTGCCCGCAGCCTTGTTGACAACCACTACATTTAATTAGATGCGAGAGCAGCGAGTGCCAAAGGGGGGCCAAATTTCACAACAGAAGGCCATGAATTATTAATTTTTTTTTTTTAGTAAATTTTTTTAACAAAAATTAACTTGGTACAATTGGAGTTTCATGATACATAATAAAAAAAAAATGAAAAAAAGGAATTCAGAAGAAATTTGCTTCACTTAGATTAATTCTGAATCTGAAACATGTGGTGTTACTTCTTTGGTCTTTTACTAAAAGAACAAACATGATTTTTGGACCTTTTAAATTTAAAAGACATTATTGCCTTACTTTATATTTTTCTTGCTGATTGTGAGATTTAATTTTAATTTTGACGCATACAAATTTTAATTGTATTTAAAACTTGAAGCAAATTATTTTTAAAGTAAAAAATTTAATTTATATTATAAAAGTAAATTTTGGCTAGTATTCATTAACAGTTATTGATTGTAAATAACTTAATTGGGGATTTTATATAGTTTTTACAAATACTAATGACTTGCATTATACTTTGCTTTCATTTTTCCAGTTTACCTGAACTTTTTCTAATCAAGTAGTTATGAAAAAATCCTCACCTAGTTTTAACTGCAGCCGTATTTTATGGGAAAATTAAAGTTTACCTACAATTTTCAGCGATTTAAAATATTATTTTAGTTGAAAATCAGAAAAAATATGAACAGAAACATAAGAAAAAATCTTTTTTTTTTTCAAAAGTAAACATCTTTTTTCTCAACAATATAAAGGAATCGTGTTGAAACTTCGGCTTTATACGTGTTGATGCAAAACGTGCAATCGATTATTTGATCTCGTCGAGATTTGCCGGCGTTGAAAGAGAGCGAATCCCACCAAAAGTAGGCAGCTAGGGAGAGAAGGGAGCAGAAAAAGTAAAAAAAGCGTCTGCTGGAAAACGCGCGCGCCTTCACTCTTTAATCTAGAAAAAAATACAATGCAGAGGAGCGAGGGCGTCCGCGGCCGGCGGGGACTTGAATTTGGAAATACGTATACGGGGAGGAAGAAATTGAGAGGTTTATAAAAATTGCCTTGGAAAAGCGACGGAGACTGTTAGCGCTATTAATCTTATTCTCTGTTAAAAAGAGAAAAGAACTGCTGCCAGCGAACGAGCGAGCGAGCGCGACACATTTGCATATCTTTGATCCATTTACTCTGAATAAAAAAAGCCTCGCTCTCGTCGCTGCCGTTTTAAAATGCGCCCGTTGCCCTTGGATATATTATATGTATTTTATCCAGAGGCTGCAAGAGAGAAAGAGAGGTTTATTTAAGAAATCCGCCACTCTTGCCTCTGCGAAAGATAAATTAGCAGAGGCAGCCTCCAGAAACAAAGACGCACAAATCTCTCTGTTTTATTTAGAGAGAAAGAGAGACGAAGGAAAAAATTCGCAGCTGCTGCCACAAAGGGAAGAATTATTTACATAATAAGTCTGGTGGTGTTGTCATTAAGAAAGGATTTTCTCCTTTTTTGCGCCAAAACCGTCATTCAACAGGAAGAACTGAACTTTTGATTCTCTTTCCCTTATAAAATTCTTTGGAAAATTTTCAAATTCTATATCAAAAGCGGGCACAACTTTTCTTTTCGGCAATTTGAATGTGACTCAGGTATAAAATCTGGAGCCTTATCGACAACAAAGAGATTAAGGAACTTTGCTGCCAAAGTTGGTGAAAAGCTCCATTACCGGGAAAGAGGGCCAAGTTAATCCCCGGTCACCTGCCTGCTTTTCCTCTCCGCGCTATCGGCCAATTTTATCTAAATTCCAGCGGGGAATATCCAGAGCGGCACCATCAATATTACTGCCGCTCTACCAGAGTAATATGCAGCAGTTTGACGAAAAGCAGGCGTGGTGGATAAGTTGGGTTCCTTTTCAACCCCATCCGGAATAAGGAGCTGACGATCGAGCACGTAGAGACTGCAGCGGAATGTGTGTGTGTGCTCGCGCTCCACACCGATCGACGTAACGTTTACCGACTTTTCTACTCCAAATACTGCTTTAAAAAGGGGCGCATTCAGTTGAAAAAGTTCTGAGATCGATTGAATTCAAAAACTGCTACATACATGGAACAGAAATCAGGGAATTCCAATAATTTTTTCTAACTGAAACGTTTTGTGTAATAAACACAAGTCATTGGCTTATAGTTATTGAATTAAGAGAGAATTTTAATTATTTTTGCAACTAATTTTTTTGTAGATGATCTAAAAGAAAATAATTCACTTACAATAGAAATTGCATAATTTCAATGCATTGCAAAAAGGAAAAAACGGATTTACTGACATAATATCTACAAAAAATAACAATTTATAAGAAATTTGACAAATAAATTGTTGCCTTTTTGCTGAAAAAACTGTGTTGCGTAAAAGAAAAATAACAATGAAACACAATAGTGCGCGTAAAACAAAAAATTTTAATTGAATACCATGATACAATAAATTTAAGTAAGAGTTTCTTTTAAATTTTTAATATAGAGTAAACAATACAGTATTTTATTCCTCCTTTAAATTATATTGAATGGAACCAGAAACCTTTTAGATTCATTTTTGAACTAAGTGCAACAAAATGTACATAAACACGAAACGGAAAATTTTAATAAAAACGTTTTACATTTTATTTATGCTTTTTTCTGAAATCTTGGTACGTCTCAACTTTTTAATCCCGCTGCCAAACTTCTTGTTCTGCCCCTGGGCTGCGCGAGGTAAAAACTTAAGCGGCGTGGAGCACTCACAAAAAAAAACTAACTACATCTCGAGCGAAACCATTACTCTTTGGCCCGGCATTATATTCCGGCGGCTGTTCTGCTACTCCCGGTGGAGAAAAAATTCGAAGGAGCGAAAAGCAGCAGCGCGGGAGAGATGGTTGGCAGATAACACGCGCCCGCCCTTAAAATGCACGGGCCGGGATTACATTGGGAAGAAAAGCACTCGAGGGCGCAGGCAATTAGAGAATGGATGCGAGCGGGAATTTCATGCTGGAATTGTTGCCACTCGAACCGTGCAGATTAAGAATTAAGTGTGCATTTATAAGGAGACGCGGCGATTTTTGGAGCCGAAATTATTATTCGCCGCGCCGTAATTATAGCCAGAGAGAAAAAGCGTTACTTTCCGGCGCTGATTTTTGGGCCAATATTGTGTCGCGCTCCATGGACTGGAAAAAACAAGAGCCCACTCCTCGCGCGCTGCTGAGAGCGGCGAACGACGAAGGGGTTAATGATTCTGAATTTGGAATGGGGAGGAAGTGGAGAGAGAGTGACGCTTCTTCTTGATTATTCCCACTTTGAGCTTGCCGAACTGCGGCATTTTGTCACACATCGTTAGTTTTCCACTCAGCTTCTGCCAAATCAACGATCATCATTCACTAAGTAAGATGAATAAAAACCACAAAAAAAATATGCAGATTTGAAATTCATATTAATATTTTAAGAAAAACTTAAAATTATCTTACTCAAGTGATGTAAAAAGATGTATAATTTAATTTTTCTCAACTTTTTACGACTTTTCATAAAATAAGTAGCAGTCAACTCGGTTAATTTGGTCCGGAACTAGCATTTTTGTTTAGAGCTGAATTGAAATTTAATTGATCTATTTTGTTTTAGGTGAAAGTGATGCTGAGGGTGGCGAGTGCAGCGGTGGCCTCGGACGCGTGTGCAGCGTCCGGCGCGTCTACCGTGGCTGCGTCGTCCTCGTCCTTCTTCAACGTGGACACTCGCCGAAAGCAAGTGACGCTTTTCGACCCTGCCACCTGCGGAGGGGCCTCGACGGCACCCGAAGACCGCAGGGTCGGAGTTGCTGCCCCCAAAATGTTTGCCTTTGACGCAATTTTCACTGCGGACGATTCACAGGTAGGGAAAATTTTAAATTAAGTTTATTTTATCCCACGTAATTAAGTGGTAATCTTTTTTTTAAATAATAATAGTTTTTAATGTTGAGTAATTTAAGTGCTCAGTAAAATTTAAAGAGGACAATCCAAAGGCCTAAACTTTCACATTAACCCGTTATGGTGGTTTAAGCTTGCCTGGGCCAGGTTGGGCGTTTGGACGCCTTTTAAATGAGTGTTGATTTATACGGACAATACATATTTTCAATTCGCAGTCAAATATGGTAATGTTCTCAAGTCATATTAAGTCAAATATTACGACAACAATGATGATATCATTACTGTTGTAATTTATCACAATAATAAGTCCAAATTTTGTGGGAAGTATAGTTAATAATAACAAGTCGCAAAATGATATGGGCCGAATCCATTTCAAGATGATAAAATTTTGTTTTCTAAGCAAAACGTTAAGTTTATTATATATATTTATAAATTATGTTTTATCTTAACAGCAGAAACTTTTTTCAAAAAAAAGACTTAATTAAGATTTAAATTAAAAACATAATTAATAGTTTAATAAAATTAAACAAAAATATTATAATTTATAAGGTTTTTTAAATCTATAAATAAAATTAAAACTAATTTGTGCAAATTTAATATTTTGAATCACAATTTTTAATTGTACTAGTAACTAAAATTAATTTAATGTAATATCCGCGCAGGTGCGTGATTTAAATGAAGAGCAGAGGTTGTGACGCACCCCTAACAAAACTAATAATTCGCACCCCCCGCTGCTGCAATAATGAGGAAACGCCAAAAGTCCCCGGCGAGGACCAGCCAAATTCCCCACCACGTCTGCTTTCTCTCTTGCCCGTCGTTATTATCGCGCAATTTTTGGCGGCTCTCGCTCTGCATGATCCAAAAAGTTGGGCCTCAGAATCGCATCTTTACGAGTGGCGCAGAGACAAAGTTTTAAATATAAATCCGCTCAAAGTTTATAATGCGCGCCGGGATCAAGTTTTAAAACAAAAACACTTATTTGAACGAACACTAGCTTTGCCTTCATTCTCGCAATAAGGGCCGACTCGGGGAGCGAAAATCCGGCGGCCGATCTCTTTTAAAAGCCGCTCCGTGTCGGAATCAACATGCGCTTCGCAGGGCAAAACAAGAATGTTGCATCACGCCATGCATTGATCCCACCGAGGCAGACGAGAGGCTGCTCTCGAGACTACAAACATACACTTATTTAGCGGCGAACTTCATCTTGCAACTCTCATCATCCTCTTATCAAACCCCATCCGGGTAAAAATCGATAATCGGATTTGCACGGCGGTTGAAAGTACTCTTCAATCCATCCTCTGTCTCTCCTTTCAAAATAAAATAAGTGTCATTTTCTCGTTTTGTTGACAAACAAAATTTTGCAACAGAAAATCTTGCGAATAAAACCATAAATTTAAAACAATATTAATTGAAGTAGGAAATAGCGCAATAAATAATGTCAGAATTCAAACAAAGGACGTATAATTTTTACGTTTTAACAGCACATAAGGCATTACTTCACTTGAGTTAATGTTTTTATCCTAAAAAATTTAGCGCAAAATATTCCCTGAAAATGATATATGTAGTGTTAAATTAATTTAATTAATCCAGACCTGGATAAATTTAAATAAGCACCAATCAATACCAATTTTTTTTTTAATTTTTACCTGAAATCATCTAAATTTCAAAAATAAATAATAAAAGTTTTGAATTTTTACCAAAAATCTAATGTTGAGTTAAATAAAATTTTAACAAATTTGTTCTTAGTTCATTTTTCTATTTTCTTTCCGTGTGTTCTTACATTTGCATCGCTATGAAGTCGATGCTGTCTTTTGATCAATGGATACCGATTTATTCTTAACCTTTTCTCGACATTCCTGCGACCCAATGAAAAAGTAGACTAGGAAAGCCAGCAGCCCAAATCGCCAATAAGTCTCCATCTCTACCGTCGTTAAAATTGTTTAGCAAACGGATTAGGATTCGAGCCCGTGATTAGATCGGAATGGCGGAGGGATTGATGCGGAAACTGCTGGAGAGAAAATGATTCTCGTCAGCGGCAGAGCCGTGAATGCAAAGTCTCGGCGGACGGGGCGCCACTCTAATCATCTCAATCAGTCAACGTTCGATCGCCGCGCGCAATGAATGAGAGATTTCGCCGCACTATTGGGGATTAGCGGCCGGTGTGCACCGATTGTGTGCGATTTTGCTGCTGCAGCACGCCGTGATTGCTAATAATTAGCAGACGGTCGTCGACCGACTGCAGCGTCCGGATTTTAAACAATGCCTAGCATCAGCTATAATTACACACCGCGTCGCTTTTTGTTGCACGTCCGAGTTGAAAAGCTGCTGAGAGAGCTCGATGGATTTGCGATATCTGACAAATAGGGGGAAACGTAAAGTACGAGTGCAAACTCGGCAGAGAGTTAAGTACAGAAATCGCTCTATTTTTTCCCGAGTTAAAGCTTTGCACTTTCATCCAACACAGGGGCTTAATTGAAAACGAGGAAATTAACAGTCTGCAATTGAAACAGAAAAAAATCAATGCATGTTGCAATTCCTAAGTGCTACACTATTGTGATTGAACAGAGAGTAATTTACAGAAAAAAAATCCTGCATTATTTTCTTTATATTTTAGCAAAAAAAATTAAATCTCGATCTTTATCACAATCTTATTTTTTTCCAATTTTGGAAGAATACTCGTTATCAATAAAAAATCGGCCAAAAATCACAATAACTGGATCATCAAGTTTTAAATTTTTGGTGCACATATTTTTCAGCAAAATTTATCTTTTAACCTTTTGAAAATAAAAATGAAAGCCAATATAGATACATTGTAACTAATTTTTTTTAATTCTGTCAACCGACGCTCACTAGCTGCGGCGGATGGTGGTGCTGTTTTGTCCAATAATCCCCTTTTTTGTAATAATTTGATTTCAAATAAGCAATGTGATCAATTTGACAAATTAAAAACAATAATTTTTTACATTTTATAGAATAAATGGAATAATGGAGACATACAGTATTATAATATTAGATATTGAAATTGCGCTTCAATATTTATGTAAGTTGGTAGGTAGCAATAATTTTTAGAAATTTAATAATTAAATGTTAAAGCAGAGAAAAGAAAAAGAATTAATATCAAAAGCAAATTATAATTTTTTTGTTGGTACAAAACTGCAAGCAAATGTATAACAAACTGTGTACAAATGCAGTTAGTCCTGGCGCGTCACCGGAGAAGCGACAGAGAAAGCTCCATTAAATTTGCACGATCGTAAAACTGGCAGACTAAACATTCAGAACTAAAGCCCCGATTTGCATAAATAAGTTTATTCAAATCGCGCGCACCGCGCCATAAATTCATCTCGTGTGTGAATGCTCGCTTGGTTGGCCGACACGTAGTGGCTGCGCCAGAGACAGACAATGCATAAATATCTCTGTTTGTCTGGCTCGCAACTGCGAAATTACCATCGTCGGCGAGTGATTGGACACGGTTCGGCCGATTCGCGCTTGTCGTTTTATTATTTCAGTCGCGTCGACGGACGATTAGAGTCTGTGTATAATCAAATGAAAATCCATCTGCAACAATAACATTCAAGGGGTTGTGGAAGAACAGCTGACTTTTTTTTAAATTTCTGAATTAGTTTTAATAGCTAAATAATAAATTCTATTTGAAGAATTATTGAATTTACATTTGATTAGAAAAGCAAGAGATCAACCAACGTTTTTTGATGATGTTTAGATAAATGATCTTGGTTTTAAAAACGTAAACATTAATATTGACAATATAAATCAATTTAAATTTATTTAAAATAGTGTGCAGTTAAAAGGAAATATTTTGACTGTCAAAAAGATCATTTATAAATTTTAGTTGAAAAATTTGAAGCTGTATAATATTAACTCAGAAAAGCAAGCCAGTGTTTCAATGTTGCGGAACATTCCTGCTCTCTCTAGTTTTGACATTAATAGATGCGGCAAATGAAGTAATTTTATGCTAATTGCCTGCGTCTGTTTTACAACTGGCCTAATCAAAGCGAAACAGCGCCATTATTGTTTTATGTGTAAATAACACCGCCGTCAGATTTATGTATTCCACCACCGTTTGTCCTACACAACCCAAATTTTATTGCTATCGCTCGTAAAACCTGCTGGTCAACAGGGTTCCTCGATGGATCAGTCGTAAATTGCAATTGATTTTTATACATAAAAGATTTATTTTCCAACCTTCAACTGGAAGTGAAGTTTTTTTTTTAATTTCCATGCAATTTGAGAACATTTTTAAATAGCTCAAATTTGTAGACATTTTTTAATCAAATTTTTTATTTAATTCTAATTTTTGCAAAATTTTAAATCAACTTTTTTTACTGTTTAGCAATAATTTAAGCACAAGTTACATAAAAAGCATTTGATTTTTTTAAGAATCAAAAAACGAGTATTGATCAAAAGTCTTCCATTGAAAATCAGTGGCACTATAAAGTTTATAGAACAAAACAAAATTAAAAATATAAGCTATAACGATATCAAATTATAAAATAAAAAACTTTGAGAAGACTTTTTTTCTTTTGCTTTAAAATGACAAACTAGAACTGACTAGAACTTAAAATTTTAATTTTGAGCCTTATTAATCGCCTTCTATTAATATTGAGGTAAAGTCTTTTCATTATTCTATCCAGCCTATAATAATTTCACCTTTGAAAATTTCTGCCAATTTTCTAATTTGGAAATTAAACAGGGGAGTTTAATTAGGTTTTGTCACAGACTCGTCTAATTACTGCTGCACACATACAGCAAACGCCACTTTCCCTCCAATGAAATTTTTATTTGCTTGTGTTATTTACGCGGGCATGTCAAACGCAAATTGTATTCTCGCTGCACTGTGTGTGTGTAATTAAACCTGACGTGTGTTTGTTGTGTTTGCAGAGCGAAGTGTGCTCGAGTGCTCTGACTGACGTCATCCACGCGGTCATCAACGGCTCGGACGGATGTCTCTTTTGCTTTGGCCACGCTCGACTGGGTAAGTACTGTATAAAAAAACACACACACCCACAATTACCCTGTTCTGCTTTTCACTCTCATTACCGCTTAATTAAAAACGACGCCGCGTGCATAATTAAACAGAATATTTTTTTTCTCGCATTTATAAATTCGCACCAGAAGGGCTTTGCAAATTAAAAAAAGAAGCCGCGGGTGCGAAATAGAACAAATTAGACTCGTGTGTCTCTCGATTGTTGTTATGTTTTTTTTTTCATATTGCTCATTACAGAGAGGACGCGTATAATTAGGAAGCAGGAGAAGTGTCGTTCGTTGTGCTCATTTAGGGCAGAGTGACGAGTCTAATACACTCTTCCGACGAAAGGGGTGGTTTTCCTTTATTTCGCGCAGCCTTGTGTCTCGCGGTCATTAATAACGCAGACGTACCAGACAGAGAAAGCACCCTCGACGCGAGCGAGCGAGCGAGCGGCGCGATTTAATTGAACGAGATCGCACTCGCTGATTGCTCTGACGCGCGCACTTGTCGCGACCGCACCAACTCAAATATTTATCTCGCACACTACCCCTTGCCTTGCTCTCGCGTACGCGTGTTAAATTTCAACAAGAACGTACAATTTTGTACCAAAAAATGTTTGTAAAATTATGAAAAAAAAATCAAACATTAATTACCATTATCAAAATCAAGTTGTTTAACCAATAGAATTATAAAAAAAGGAAACAGGAAATTTTTTTAATCTGTTATTTTTTGTTAGTTTCTAAACATAATTTAATCAACCGCTAATAATGGCAAGAGTTATCAAAGATAAACGTTAGGATTTTATTAAATGTCTATTTTATTTATTTGATCAATAAATTTCTAGTACAAATTTTTTACCTTGAATTTTTTGAAAATTTATAATACAAAGACCTTTTGCAGAGATATTTTTCGCGATTCTTCATGAGTGACTTTTGAAAAAAATAAAAATCTGAATTTTCGCAGAAGGAAAAAAGAGTAAGAAAGCAGACAGACCTTTTTATGAAAAAAAAAAGCGTAGAGGTGTCAGTTTTTGCTGGAATTTCATTAGAGCAAAGAATAAACAGCGTACGACCTTTGCCCCTCTCAAAGGAAGCAGATTTCAGAGAGATGGAGCAGCAATTTAGCTAAGTGTTTCGGAATAACAAAGAAATTACAAAGTTGGTACACGAGATTGAAATAAACGAGCTGCTCCGCCGAGCGTCTAATCGCTTTGAGATTTTTGACAAAAGAAGGAAGAGGGGGAGAGAGTGAGTAAACATCCCTAATTTGCCAGATTAATCCTTTTAAATGAAGCGATTTCTCGAGGAAAAGGGTAGAAGTGCGTTTGGATGAATAAAGGAAAAGTATTTTGTTCCCCACTAAAGACAAAAGCTGAGAAATTCGGCCGAGAAAGAAGAAAAACTCTCTCAGAAACGAATTCCGCAGTAAAAATTTTGGAAAAGTTCCAAACACTTTCTCATTAGAATAAACGTGCAGTTTTCCTCTCTTTTTCCGAGCTGAAAAGGGGAACAGTAAAAAACTTCTGGTGAGTGTGTGGCAGATTTAGACTCGATTTTTGGCCACAAATCATGAAATCGACGCAGAGATTCGGTTTCAGAGAAAAAGGAATAATTAAAAATGATAAATAGCGTAAAGTTTTTTCACTCGCGAAAAGGTGCTTGTAAATCTCCGTGGCTGAACAATATGCCGGTGGGTCTAAACGATTGCATTCAATTTGGCTTTAGTGAAGGATACGCCCACAAAAGTGCCTGCGAAAGGATGTTGCTCCCAAGGGAGACATCCACCATTGATTGACCCGTTGCCTGCAGTGGACCCATGTGTGCACCCTCATTGCTCGCGCACCCTAAATGCACCCCGTGTCTCTCCACGGGCCAGCTTCTTTTTCGCTTTATACCAGCAAAAACAACCAAAGGGAAAATATTGCTATTGATTCTCTGGACAAATAGGAACACAATTTTTTTCAACCTAAAACGTGCTTTTAAAAGATAAAATTATTCTGCAATGGTCACAGTAAAAACTTTCATTGAAATCTTTCTACCTTATTTATATTATTTTATTTATCCTATTTTTGCGAGGCTGGGATATAGTGAATTTTTCTTTAAAAGCATGGTACATTTTAATTTTATTAATATCAAAAAAATTTCAAATTAAAGTAAGCTTCACAATAATTATTTTTTGATAAAGTCACATTATGGGCAGAAATTTCAGGGTAAAACGTATACTTTTCAAATAATTAAATAACAAAATTTTTTAATAAATTTAAAATTACGAAACTTTTTCTAAAAATCATTTTATTTTCATCAATTACTTGATGCACTTAAAATTAATTAATAAAAGCAATGAAAAACCCGGAAAAACCTTCAAAACCTTCAAGCCACCCTTGCAATGGAAAAACGCACCTCTCTTGATTTCCATATCTTCAAAAGTTTCCCTCCCAATAATTCTTTTCATAAATTTTTATATTTTATTTGTAACAAATTTGTTTCAAATAAAACCCAATAATAATAAATAACAAACTGAACGTATTAATCATAACATTAATTTTTTTAGGCAAATCGCATACCATGCTGGGCAATGGTGACGCGTCTGGAAGCCTCGGAGTGATGCCGTGTGCCATTTCCTGGCTCTTCAGAGGCATCAACGAGCAGAAACAGAAGACTGGCGCCCGGTTCTCGGTGCGGGTGTCCGCGGTGGAGGTTGCTGGACAGTCTCAACACCTGCGTGACCTGCTGGCCGGCTACGCGAACGGTAAGTCTCTCTTTCGTGTTTGTGCGGAATGAAGGGGCCGCGATCGAATTACTACGGCGTCGCCACGTGAGCGCGGTGAATTATTATATCGGCCAGGACGACGATTTCGTGAGCAAACGGAATGGGCGTAAATCAATCCAACAGTTGATTTAGTGACCCTCAATCTCATAAATCGGCAATAGGGGTGTGCGTAGAGTGTCTCTGGAAGAGACGCTTATCAAAAAGCGAATACGGAGGGTAATTAGGGACAAGTTTTGTAGCTTTTATATTTTAATTTAATAATCTTTAACGTTTTTAATATTTATATACATATAAATAAATTTTACATAAAATATTTGATATTAAATTATATATTTTATAATGTGTTTTTAAATATTTTTTAATTTTAATTTATATTTTGTGTATTATTTTGACCTTCAACAATAATCATGATTAACACTTCACCATAATATGCATGAGTTTAATATTTTTTTTTTTTAATAAAATATTAAATCCTCCATCAATCAAATAAGTTAGGAATTGATAATAAATTAATATAGTACATATAGGAAGTTTATGGGAATGTTAATTATATTAATTGTTGAAACACAATATTTTTTTAATATATTCATCGCTGCACATTGCTGTCAATAAATTTTGGGGAAAATCTAAACTTTTCTTAATAATAGTCCCAATTCGTTAAGAATTACTTGAATTAATAAGAAATAAGAATTGAAGCTTATAAGCAACATGTATAAATAAATAGAATATTTTAACATGTATCTTAATTTGCAGATTGTGAACAAAGTCCTGGTGTCTACCTCCGAGACGACCCTTTACTCGGCGCCCAGCTGCAGCACAACAGCGAGCTCAGGGTGCCAACGGCCGAAAAGGCCGCCTTCTACCTGGACGCGGCCGTTGCCGCCAGGACGAGGGCGTCCAACACTCCAGGCGAGGAGCCCAGGGACTCGCATCTCTTATTCACCCTCCACGTGTACCAGTACAGCGTAGACAAAAGTGGCAAGGGAGGAGGTAAGTGTTGCAAAAAAATATTTGGAAAAAATATGATAATTAAATAATTAAAAATATTTATAAATGTTTTTTTTTTTTTATAAAACAGTGCTGATTTATCATTTTCATTGCTGGAGATCCGTTTAAGTAACTCAACAACATTAAAATAAACAGTATTTTTTTCCCTTTTTTTAATTATTAAAACTGTTAAATTTATTTATCCGTTGGCAGGACTTGAGGCTTTCGAATTGCCCTCTAATGTAATATGGTGACGCCCTTTCTTATCTTTTCGAAATTTTAATATCAAAGGCAGCCCCTTTTGATTGTACTGCCTTTTGTGTGCACCTACACTAAACTTGCGTGTGCTTATTTATTTACTGCTCAGCAGCAGCCATTTAAAGCCGAGAAAAGCCAAAAGTCGGTTTTCCAAAGGTCCCATTGTCTCTTAAAGAGAGAGGGCGGCGAAGGAAATGAGAGTCATAACTCTTGAAAATAATAGCGCGCCTGTTGGCAGGTGGTATTACACACTACACTCTCTTTCTCAACCCCTCACTGCTACGGAAGTCGGGGGTGCATTGCAAATAATATTCCTCCTTTTTTAGCCGAGACTGCGTGGAAATTCACTCATTGTTGCACTGCAATTTTTTTCAGTCGCCGGCGGAAGGAGCAGACTGCATTTGCTGGACCTGGGCAGCTGCGAACGAGGCAGGACGTCGGGTGGAATTCCTCTTTCTGGAGTCGCCAACGTTTTGCTCGCCATCTTCAACGGACAGAAGCATCTTCCATACAGGCAAGTGAAACTAACAAGAAACATAAAATAAAACTAGAACGGTTTAATGATAAGAAAAAAAAACCTAATTAATCTATTTAGTAAAAAATACATTCATTATTATCTAAATTGAACAGAGATGCTTGGTTTAAAATTTGATAGTTTACAACAAAATTGAAAAATGTTTGCTCTACCCTCAGCATTGCAGATTTTCAACTTAAAGTCAAAATTATCATATTCTTATCTACTCTTTAAACAAAACAAAAATAAATAACGAATTTTTAAATTTTTATAGTATTGTAAAATATTGGTCAAATTATTGTTTCATTTAAATTGTTTTCTTTCCATCATTGTTAAATTCTAGCTCAAGTTTTTGTTTATGAAAAATAGCGCTTTTTAGTAAGGAAAACAATCTTTGTAGAGCTTATTAGGATGTGAAAAATAAACGCCTTTTAAATCCAGGGTGCTTTTAGCAAGTGCCGCATATTTCCGGTTAAAGTGGCGCAAAATTCCGTCAAGCCGCACCTCAAATTTTCGCCAGCGCGGCTCTTTTGTTGTGGCTGCTTTTTGTGAAACCAGATCCCGACACCCGAGAGTGAGCTCCAAATTCCGGGCCAAGGCGAAGCCACCCTCGCACGCACCACATTAGTCAAACCCTTTGGAATACGCGTTTAATCGGTGAATTAAGAGAGAATTTAATTTCGGCTCATTTGAATTTTAGTGCCGGGCGCGCTTTATTCTGCAATTTGCACGCAGTTGTAAAATCGGTGCATTAGGAGCCGAGTGAAGAATAGAAAACGCTTTCGGGAACTGATAAAAGCCGGGAAGACTTCCATGTATAGACGGGGGGGCTGTAAAAAAAGAGTGCGCGCACTTGTTTTTACGGGCGGCGCACGACGAGTGGGTGCTAACTTATTGAGGTTGCTTTATTGCCGCCCCCAGACCTACCCTTCACCCCGCCGCTTCTAATGCTCGGCGCTCTTTTACGAGGCGCCTCGATTATTGCGCAATCAGGGTTCGATTCCCGGCCAGGGCGCGCGACAGCTGCCGGGGGTGTATAACTTTTCAGCCAGGGTTGTTTTTGTGCTGCTTGGCTTTTACGACCTTGCAGCTCGTCTCGCGTATAATTCGCGATGACGGCCGACGTTCATATTTTATGAGCCGGAAAATTAGACTCTCTGCCGCTGCATTTATTAATAATTAAGCAGCCGGCGATTAAAATTCATCATTGAAAGTGAGAGAGCAGTAAAAGTGGCTCGCTGCCAAGCAGTTGATTAATTAATGCCGTTAAATTTGACTCCGCGAGCGTTTTCATGAGGTGCTCAAGTATTCATGATTTTCCAGTAAAAGAAAATTTTAATCTTCATCACTAATCTACACATAATTTCCAAATCTTTAAAAATTAAAATGAAATTAAAACTAAAGTATATTAATTTTTTAATTACTGGAATCAGCGATTGTGTCTAAAAGATTTAAAAAAGGCATGAAATTTTTGATAATATTTACAAATTTTTCAATATTCCTCATACTTGCTCATACTATAATATTTACAGAACAAAACCTGACTACGAAAAGAGATGGAAACAAAAGCTTAATTGAGTTTCCAAAAAATGAAATTTTTTTTCTTCGTCTGCCACAATAAAAGGATAATTATTAAAAAATTTATTGGATAAATAATTGTTCAAAATTAAAATTAATTTTGTGAGCTGTTAATGAAAATAGACCAAAATTATGCAAAAATTATTATTATTATTATTGTTTTTTCCTTGTGCAAATTGCTGCATCACATTATTTACATTCTATCGTTGAAAACAAATTATTTGAAGAAGAAATTATTGGACAAAACGGCTCCACTAGCAAGGATTTTGCTTTAACTTCCAAAATCAAAAAGACCCCATCCGCCGCAGCGAACCTCGGTTGACAATGTTATTTTCTTAATTAATATTATGTTTCTGGCTAAAAAAATTTGTACTGGCAGTTCAATTTTTAAAAGAAATTTAATATTTATTTTATTTTAAATATTGCAAAATTTCATTTCATTTTTTAACAAATACTATAATATTTTAAAAATTGCACAACGTGTAGTAGTCAAACTAATTGAAGGACTCTAAACAAATCGAATTCTGTATCCTCTTGCTCTGCTCTTGCTCATTAATAATGAGCCTCAAAACTGGGTATCACACAAGTATGAAATTCCGCGCTCTCTCTCGCTGGTGTGGAGTGATGAACTTGTTTAAAGGTTGCTTAATTAAGCAGCGTGTACACACGTAGAGAGTGTGTATGTGCGCGGCGCAGCAGGCGGATTACACCACGCCTGCACCCCCATCCACCCTCAGCTCTTTGTTTGCCGCGCCGAGTGTGTATATGTGAAATTTCTTGTTTGGCAATTAAAACTGACAGTGGCAACATGCATCGAGACTCGCGTTTGATCTTTTGAAAAAGGTCGCGTTCTGAGTATTTGAGCACTTGAGTAAGCTGCGCCTCGCCTCTCTCACCTGTTTGCCAGCCCGAGAGAGCATTGGGTTTGTATTTATTCCTGTGCTCTTTGTGTGGCGCGAGACTGTGTGGTATTTAGGCGAAAAACATGCCGATATGCAAACTCGTGAGATTTGCTGCGCCGACGATGATTAGCCGAGTCTCTTGTGATCTGCACGGTGTTGCTTTAAACGCCTCTCGTCTCTCTCTCTCGCGCCTCTAGTCTGTTTGCTTAGCCTAATAGCTTGCCGTGTTTTCCTGCTGCTACCCAAAGAGAATGAGGCGGAGATTTTCAAGCGGGTCATGAAAATTTTAACGTGTGTCACAGCAGCTTTCCCTCTCTTGTGCGCAAAAATTTTAATGAGGAAGGAAAAAAATAAATTTAGAAAGAATTCACACGAGAGACTAATTTTTTTTCTAATTAATAATTTTCATGATTTTCTTTTTTTTTCCAGAGAACACAAACTGACACAGCTTCTGAAAGAGTGCCTGGGGTCATTGACCTGTCACGTGGCAATGATAGCGCACGTGTCACCTCTGGCGCAAAACTACACAGAAACCCTCACAACCGTCCAACTGGCTGCCAGGATACACCGAATGAGACGAAGACGAATAAAGGTACAATTTTTTTATAAAACCTTTTAACATTTATTGAAATTTTATAAAAATAATTTCAGTTCGGATGTGGAGCAGCCGGTTCCGGTGGAAGTTCCGGGGAGGATTCCCGTCTTCCCGGCACAAGCAGCAGCGACGTCGACCCCTCCAGTTCCGAGCAGTCGGCGGACACGGTTATCTACGTGGGTCCATCCGATGACGCCACTGACGGCGAGCACCCCCCAGTCTACATCCCGAGTCTCAACTCTGGAGACAACCGGTGTGCGATGGGAAAGGTCTTGCGAGGTTCCAGCGCCGAGAGGCAGCCGTCTTCGATCAGAGGGTCTCCGGCCAAGGCGAAACTGCCATCGTCGTCCGAGGGTAGTCCTGCCAAGTCAGCAAAGTCGTCAAAGATTCCAGTCAGGCCGTCGGGAACCACGCCAAAATCGCCGCAAGTAACAAGACAGGTACATTTAATATTTACATTTTTCATTAAATTAAATTTACTAATAATATTGTTCTTATTTTCTTTATAACTACTTAACATATTTAAGTTTTATTTATTTAATTAATTTAAATTTTCTAAAAAAAGTTTTATAATTTTTTATATTTTTCTCAAAAAATAATCAATAAAATTTTAAATAGTCATTTAACTTGTTTTTTTTTTTTTTAAATAAATTTTTGTTGATTGTAAGCTAGACTATTGAATTGATCATAATGATTCTTGTTAGGACAGTTTTTTGCTTACCATAATTATATTATTAAAATATTATATAATGAAAAGCAACATTCATATTGTTTAATAAAGTGAGAGAGATTGACCTAATTATATCCCTTCTTAACGAAGGTATGCATAATTGTATTTATCCTTTACTTATTTTTGAAATGCGATTTCAGAATAAAAGTAAAGGAACTGGTGGCAAAAGTGATGAACAGTGGATTGACGGCCCCAGAATATCGCGATCCAAAGTGGCCGAGGCGCGAAGTTTGCTCAAGGAAAGCCACAAACGGGAGACCTGGGTTGATGGTCCGCAGGCCGGAAGTGGTGCCGCCCCCAATCCTAGCGCTGCCCCCGCCGCTGCCCCCACAGCAGTTGCAGCAGCAACGGCCACCAATCCTGCCACCCCGGCCACCGCACAGGGCTACGGATACATGGACAATCACAAAAAGTGCATGATTCAGCGCTGGGTCGAGAATCAAACCGTGCAGATCCAGCAGAAGCTGATGAAGTCCGGGGGCGGCCCACCTGAGTACAAGGAGATGACCCAGTTCAAGACCTGCGAGGACAGCGAAACAAGTCCCGAAGTTGAGGAAACGCCTGAGCTGCCCCCACCGCAGCAAGTGCCACTCGAGACTGCGGAGGAACCAAAAGAACAGGCCAGGCAGCCGGCGACTGCGGAGGCGATAGAAGAGGAGGAGGACGATGAAGACTGCGTCAGTGAACTGCCGCCCCCGCTGCCTCTTCTCCACCAGCAACACAACAAAGAAAAAGGTGAGCTATAAAAAAATTTATGCTGCAATTTAGGCAACCTGTGTGACTTGGTTGTTTCGCAGGTTGCCTTATCAGAAATTTTTAGGAGATGAATTGAATCTTTTTATAAAACCGATTTTATAACGAAGTTAAAAAAATCTTCAAATCAGAAATTTAACGTACGCTAAAATTTTTTCTGTTGTTGTACCACAAAGCATTTTATGGCCAATTAGAGGTGCATCAAATTAATAATTCTGAAAATATGAACAAGTATGAACAAAAACGTAGAAAGAAGAGATTAAGTAGCGTTAATTTTACTTACAATGTTTTTGTAGAATCTTGAATTTTAAAAAACTCCTGATATTACAATTTTTAATGAGGAAAAGCCTGTAGTTATAGAGGTTAAAAAATAATAATAAATACACAGCAAACGCAATTTGCTTAAACACATACGGAGCGATATTTAATTGAATTAGTTTTTAGGATGAAGAAAAATAGGATAAGTCATAAAAAAATTATAATCATTATCCTCACAAAGACAATAAATATGTACATTTTGTAATTATTTTAGTGATATTATCATAAAATTCAGGCTTCCTTGTTTTGGTTAGACATGACTGATGTTCTCGCAAAGTCAATATTTTCCAAATTGAGCAATAAATGCTTTGACCAACAGGTACAAAAATACACAAAGGCTTGGATTTTCCAGCAGCGCACACCGTTCCATAAATATTTCCTGAAAGAGCGCGCACACGAGATGAAATTGTTTTGTTTGTCGTATCAAAGCAGTTATCGCCGCGGGCAGCATTCCGTCCGTTATGCCGAGAATATTTTTCCACCGTCGCACGCACACGGAAAATTCCTTTCACCGCGAACAGACAAAATCAAAACGCGCCGTCGGCTCCAGAAAAAAATAAATGAAAATTCCATGTGCGGAGAGATTAAATGTATATTTTTTCGGCTCTTTGATTAATGACGACACCCACTCTATTACTATAAAAAGATGATTATACGACGGAGATAACTGACACGTTTAATTTTTTGCTTTCAATTCGCCTGATTTATTGTTTCGACGCGTCACTTCACTGTGATAAAATTTAATGTAAAAAACGTGTTACTTTTATGCCGTGTCCGCTTGTTATCAAAATATTAGATTTACCCCTGCTCACATAAAAAGAAAGAATTGTGCGTTGACCCTGCAGTGACCGGCCGGCACACCCTGCGCGAGTGAAATATTGCGTCGTCGTCGTTACGAGGGGACTTGCTCTTTTTCCTAAAAGGGGCGCCTTGAGAATATATTCGTCTCTGATATTTATCCAATGATAAAAATAAACGGCGATCGGTTTTTAAAACATTTTTCCATTTTGTGTTTCAGAAGCTTCTGTGAACAATTACGAACTGAAACTGAAAATTCTCGAAGAGAGGAGGCGGACAATGGGAGCTGACGCCGATGTAGGAGGGGTGGACGATATCGAAATAATTGAAGTCGAAGAGCCACTCGAGCCTGTGCCAATGCAAGACTGCTGCCTTCAGGTAAATATAAAAAGCTAAATTCACCATTAGGTTTTAATTATTTTTAAATATTAGGTGACTGAGGAGGACATAGCGCTGTGTATGGGAGAATTTTATATGCCTGAAAGTGACGCCGAAGGGGAAGAGCATCCACTCAGAGTTTTGAGCCAAGAAAACCTGACTATAGTTTCAACATTCACAGGTAATAAAAAAGTTATTTATGCAAAAATTTAATTATATGGAAAGGAGTAAATTTAACACCTCTTAAATATTTATTAAAATATAACAAAAAAATGTTAAATTCATAATTTTTAATGAATTGAATTTCATACTTTTAAAAGCCGGAAACAATATAATAAATATTTTTTTTACTAAACATACTGTGTTTATTTTTTCCTAAACTTCGGCAATTTAAAAAATTACACATTTTCCACACAAATTTACTGCAATAATTATCACATTCTTATGAAAATTTATAATATTCCAGACTCGTTATCAGTAACCACTGACCTGGACCGTGGCATCCCAGGCAGTCACTCGGTCCTGTCTGAAGATCTGCTGGTTTCAGCAACCTCAACCACAGACAAAATCATGTTTCCGCGCAAAATGGACCACATTTCCAAACTGCATGAGCTGTACAAAAACCCCGGTGGTCTAGACAGTGCAAGCAAAGGTCCGTCGCGATGTCAGGCCATCACCATCAACGACATGCTGTACGGCTCAACAACCTCGACAACCACCTCCGCCGCCGCCCCCGACTCCAAAATGTGTCTGGCCTGTCGACAGGTGATGAGTCGGGGTCTTTGGTACCCCTCGCTGGCTGTCGAAGGGTCCCACCTGTGCTCGCAGCACCTCCAAGAGAACCAGAGCAAATCGTGGTACAACTCGGGTGTCGAGCCCACAGTTCCTGAGGCAGACCAGCCATTGAAGCTGCCTAAAGTGCTGCCCAACAGCAGCATTGCTTCCCTGAGGCACCCTGATGGCGCATCAAATCCGAACCTGGACAAGCAGGAGGAGGTCAGGACGAGGTTTCCTGGAAATGGAGCTGCGTCCGATCATGAGGACGAACTAGTGGAAGCTCAAGAGGTTTGTTTTCTTTACATCAATATGGAAAATATTTAATTTTACCAAATTCGTTCACAAACTTTAATTAAAATTTAAATGATTATAGTTTCTAATTCTACACTTCTATTGAAAAAATCACTTGAAATATGGACCTAGTAATAAAAAAAAAAACATAAGAGATTAAATAAAATTGACTATAAGAATGATTAGAGAGCCCTAATCAAACACGAAAAATTAGCTTGCAAAAAATAATTACATTTTAAAGAACTGAACAAAAATTATAAAATTAATTTCATAAATTGTTTGTAACATGTTTTGACGTTTTAATAAGTTTCCAGCAATATCCTTGTGCTGAAACATTGAAGACGATTCAGGGATTGATAATTTTAATCAGCTTTTCTACATTTTTAAATAAAAAATTATCGTATCTGGATTGAATTTGAGAACAACTTTTTGAATCTCTATCATCATAAACCTCATTGATAGTAATTAATTCAGTAAAATGATAAACAAATTTAATTTTGCAGGAGCGAACTGTCACTGGAAAATCGGATGACGACGAAAGTGCTGTGATCACGAGCAGCCTGCCCAGTTCCACACCCGCCGCCTCCGGGGGCAACAAAACTCCCCGCCTAACTCGCCTCTTCGCAGGCGCCCGGAGAAGTCCAGGAAAATCTCCTCAAAAGTCGCAGGGCAGCAAGAAGCAAAAGACAAACCGCGCTCCCAGCAGCGAGGGTTACGACAGTGGTCTCGACTCGGTCATCATCGTCACCCGCACGTCCAAGTCTCCATCACACCAAGCCACAGGCGTCACCGGCAGCAGCAAGAGAGGCGCCTCGTCCACGGTCCACTGCGAGAGCTCAGGTTACGAAAGCGTCCAGAGGGACTCGGAGTGCTCTAGCTTGGCGTCCAGCCACGAGTCCAACGAAGGGGTTGAAGCAAACCCACCCCCTGCTTCTCAAGAACAACCCCCGGCTGGAAACGGCAAGAAAGCCACGGCCTCGACCAACACAGGCCCCACAGGGTGGTGGAGGCTTTTTCCCAGCTGCGCCAGAAACAAAATGCGAACACCCTCAGTTGATTGGTAGTAGAAGGGGTGATCTAGCATAAATTAAATTATGGTTGTTATACATTTGTGTAGAAAAAAAGGAGAATCTCTTCTTATTTTAATTTATTTCAATCAAACCCCCTCCCTCGATGCAAGGAAACTATTTATTTCCCCCTTTTTTTTAATATAATTTATTTATTTCTATATATATGATTCAGTTTATGGATATTTTTAATGGATTAACTCAATGATCAGATGCCAATTTTTGATATTAAAATACCCTCCATGTAGGTACTAACCTGTATAATGTCTATTAGAGTAGTTTAGTATGGAAAATAAAATATTCTACCCAAATACCCTACCAAAAATGATCAATAATACACGAAAGAAAAACGAAAAGAAAAAAAAAACATTTTATAATATAATAATCTTATGACCCCCGTCACACTTAATGTGCAAATAATTGTGGCTTTCATCAATACTGAATTGAATTAAAAAAAATGTGAAGATTCATTCCAATTTGATCACCTTCTGATTTCCCAAAACCCACAGACTGCATATTGCTATTTGCGTGTTTTAATTTTACATAACAAAAAATCAATGCTAAAATTGCCTTTTGACGCGAACAATACTCTTGCGCCTATTTTGATTATTCTCTAGTTGTTTAGCCTAATGTTTTCTACACAGCACATCAAAATAAAGAGAGCTTAACACTACATCAGGCAAAAAGTAAAAATTATATACTTTTTTATATTTCCAAAAACGGATGGAAAATTCGTGAAATCTAAAATCGATCCTTTTGCCCGCATTATCTATAAAATAAATTTAAGAAAAGTTTGTACATTTTGTAAGCTATATCAAGTCACAAAACTTATTTAATGTACAGAAGATGTATCAATTTGTTAATTGGAATAAGAGATGGATATTATTGTGTATAAAAATCTGTTTACCATATGATCAACTTTTGTTCAAAGTGTAATAATTGTAAATAAAGTGTTTCTTATAAGTACCATAGAATGATGGTATGATTTTGAACCACACCTCCCACCTGAGACAATGAAAATCCTTGGTATGCTAAATAAAAATAAACAATTTGCTCTCTTCCCAAAATATAATAATCGTAGAAACTACCTTTATTAAATAAATTTGAATAAAGTCTCCTCTAATTTTGATATTATTGAAGAGTAACAATTTTAAGTTTTTTACTCGTTTGTCACATTGCAACTAGATTATGCCATCGTAGTGAGTCATTATTATTGAGCCCAGGTGAAAATCAATAGTACCATAAATCGCCATAAATATCAAAACTGCCTTTAATTTGAAGCCTCGGCAGCAGGATGAATTTTCAAATGTGTCCTTAAGGATTTCGCCGAGTGTTGCTGCAGATTGAACGGGGCTGATTTTGATTACTCCTTCCTCCAGGTCATAGCCTTTCCAACACCTGTTTTTTTTTTTTTTTTGTAAATTTCTCCTGAATTTTTGAAATTAAAAATATGTCACCTCATGCACAGCTTTAAAAGCATGTGAGTGCAGCCCTTCAGCTTGAAAAATGCAGGTATAAATTCTGCCATGTCCTCCTGGCGCCCAAATGCAGCAGCCATGCTGATGTGGAATCTTTGAACCTCGTCATCAGTGTCACTATTGCAGTTGAAGTGTTTAGCAACACTTTGTATTATCGAGAAGAGCAGCTTTCTGGACTTGATCTAGTGGGAGGCTTCCAACTTGCATACTCTTGATTTCCTGAAGAATGGGTTCAGGCAGTAGAGCAACTGAAGACCAGAATTAGCGAAGCAAAAGTTGGATGTGTTGATCAAGCTGAAATCATTTAATACACATTAGATTGAAATAATAAATTCTAAGTCTGGTTTTTCTCTACAAAATATGTAATTATCAATAGGAGAAAAAAACGCCTGCTCTCCGGATTGTGGAAAATCTTAAAGAAAAAACGGCCACTGACCCACCGATTCGCGACCGCCAATTCACGGCATAAAAACGTCCAAAATTTACACCTTTCCCCTGTTGCCCCAAAAAGTAATTATTGGAATCCGTCGCTCATTGAAAGTATCTGACATTTCTCAAAATAGCGCTGCTCTGATATTATAAAGCAATGGAGCGTATCTGCTAAAAGTGAGTGCAATTTAAGGCTTAAGGCGCAAAATCACCCGCGCTTCCAGCCCTCGCGCACTCATCAGCATAATCATGCCTTTTTGTGTGGTTATACACGTACAGGAGGTTTTCGCGTAAATATTCAAATAAAATTTATACACACCCGCAGAATTCGGTGCCATCGGTCTTCACTCGCTTTCTATTCATAAAGTGAACATTGCGGAGAAGATCGTTGATGATGGCAACGGCATCCTGTTCAATGGAGGTGGCATCTGGCGGTTCTTGAATTTCAAGGATTGAGGAACAGGCAACCTTGATGAGCTCCTCGGAGATAATTTTTTGAATCTTCTCAGGATCGAGGTACCTTCCTTTTTAAAATCGACATTTTAAATTTAAATCTCAACGGTTCAATCAATGGAGTCGTTGTCAATTATTGTTTATTTCGCTTGTTGCTTTTTAAATGTGCATGTTTTGTATTGCTTGTTCTGTTTTGCTTGTTGAGGTCAATAATTGGCATTGTTGAAAGATGTGGCAAAGAGTCTCATAATTATAAAATAAAATTTAAAATTCATAAAAAAATTCTCTTTTTCTTTAAAATTCTTCCTGCGCATAAGTCTTTTTCTGATTTAAAAATATACAATTAAAATCTAGCGAATGACTAACAAATTATGCATCAATTTGAAGAGAAATAAATGAAGATTATTTTAAACATAGAGTGAACTAACTTACCCCTAATTAAAAGGTTGAAATCGGGGGCGAAGAACGCGCGAATTGAGATAGGCGCGGTTGCTCTTGGCAACAATGAACAAAAACAAATGGAGAGAATTAACATAACAAAGGGCAGTTGGCAATTGGCAATGAGTGCCAACTGAACAATTTTGCACACAAGGGCGCCACACACTTAAATGGTTCCAAATTAATACATACTGTATTTTTTCCACACTCTTTGAAAAATGAAAATCCTTGGTATGCTAAATAAAAATATCCATTTTGCTCTCTTCCCAAAATATAATAATCATGGATCATGGAAACTGCCTTAATAAAATAATAATTTTGAATAAAAAATCTCCACTATAAATTTTGATATTATTGAAGAGTCAAATTTTTAGTTTCTTACTTGTTTGTCACATTGTGACTAGAGTAATTATGCCATTGATAGTGAGTCATTATTATTGAATCCAGGTGAAAATCAATAGTACCAGTAAGTATTATGTATCTTAAAATTTAAGTTCTTTTTCTTCAGATTCTTAGTTTAACAAAACTTGAGTTGGACACGTACAAATAATGAAACATATATAATTATATAAATTTATTTTAAATTAAAAACAAAACTTTGTTTAAAGTACCATGATTTATGAATCATTTAGGACCAGTACTATGAATTATGTATAAATTAAATGGGTATAATAGGTATAATACTTAGAATGAAACTAATATAATTTTCGTAATACCAAATGGTACTATTGATTTTCACCTGGGAATAGCCATAAACATAATTTCTTTTATTTATTATTTTATTTTAATTTAATATTTATACTGAATACAGAGTTTTTAAATTTAATAATCACAATTACCTTTATAAAAAACTTGTTGTGGTGATCTACACATGTATAGAAGTAAAATTATTATTCAAATCAGACATTAAAAAAGACTTCACAATTTAGATTTTGCTATTTGACTTATTCATCTAAAAAATAATTCCACAAATCAGCCGGAAATGTTCACTTCTTTTGTGGAACCCTGCCCTTGAGGACCTTGAGCGTCTTGTCGATTGCTCGGAGTATGCTCGGAGACACAGCCTGCTCCAGGTAACCATCAAAAAGGTCATGGTGCACTAAAGGCTGCATGGCCTTCTTAGCCCAATCACTAAAACATTTTCCATTAAAAAAGTTTATATATAATTTTTTTAGAAAAAAAAAACTTACCGGGTTTCTTGGCTGCCTTCAGTCAGCAGGTTGGCAATCGTCCTGAGCAATTTGACGCGCACATCCTTGCTGATGTAATTCATCACCTTTTCGGCGCCCATTCTGTTGACCTGATCACAAAGGAGCCGAGCCGTTGTAGTTCTGACAACAGCATTCTTGTGGCTAGAAAAATAACAATTTAGACCCTGCCGGAGACTTGAACGCCAGAGCTTTCTTTCCCACCTGGCTCCCTGGGAGATGACTGCTGGAAGGGTTTTCATGGGCGACACATTCTGCATTATCTTGTCCAGCGCAGCGTTGCAGTCCGTGCGGTGGAACTTTGTTGTGTCCGCCGAGCGGTGCAGGAGAGGAGCCACCAACTCTTCAACCTCCTTATATTTGGATTTCTTTTTAAGCTCAAATTCATTCCACACAAATTTTAGTAACTCACATTTTCCAGAGTTCTCTTCATATGGATGGCCATGTTTCCGGCCACCTGGCACGCAGTGCGTGACACCTGGGACCTCAAGTTCTTGATTTGGGTTACGACAGAAGCCACAGTGGAGTGGATTTCAATGGCGATGACATCTGAATGATGCTCAACCAAGTAGTTCAGAGTCTTTAAAGCTTTATTGATGGTCATCCTATATTACAAGATTAAAGTTAAATTTGTTTTATTAATTGATTATGTACCAATCAGCACTGTCCAGCTGTATTTTGCATGTGTTGAAAACATCATGGGGCCTTCTGAATGGAGTCGGAGGAATATCATCCATGAGAGAGGAGCTTGAGCTGTGGGCCGAACTGTTCCTGACACCTCTGTTCAAATTTGAGCTTTTCACCGCACGCCGAGGAATACTAAAGATAATTAAACACAAATTGAATGGAAATTTACTAATGAACATTATGATTAGTTTACTGTGTGGAGACGCTTCTTGGAGGCCTGGATTTAGGAACCATCGGGACTGCGAAGGCAACCGCCTCTACAGGAGCCATGGGTTGCTCAGTGAGCTCGACGGGCTGAGGCAAAGGCCTCTCAGCCGGGTTCTCAAATTCTTGTTGTGCATTCTGATAGTTTGCTTGAGCAGCCTGAAGGTGCTGTTGGTGCAAAGGAATTGGAGAGCTCTAAAATTAAATAATAATAATAATTAATGGAATAAATTATATATATTTTAAATTTAACTTTATCTTTAATTCATTAAATGCTATAAATTTATTCTATTTTTATCTCTTAATATTTATTGTACAATTTTTATAAAAAATCTTCCGAAACTTAAACGGACAGAAAACTTACTGCTTGTGGTCTGATCGGTGGTGAATTCGACCTTTCTGGGGACGGCGCCAGCGATCGACGAGGGCTGCTGTGCACACTGGCTGGAGGCGCCGGACTCGCCACTGGAGTTGCCTTAGGCGCCACTTCTTGCTGTGGTGGTTGATTGCGTTGAGGCGAAGCTGGAGCTGTGAACGAGTCCTGGTTGAAATATGGACCCGCCAAGTTTCTGGTGCTGTAGGGAAGAGGTGTCTCGAAGGGATCGAAATACTGTGCAGTTGGAGGTGTTTGCGCCGAGCCAATGGAGCCAATTGCTGAGTCACCAGAGCGGGCGACCGAAGAGTGGGCTGACGACCTACGAGACTCCTGCTTGTTTTCCACCTCAGGCACTGATAATAAAGGATATTTGTTCGTAAAAACTAACAAAGAATGAATTAATTGTAGTTAATTGACTTTACAGTTAACAAAGAAATAGAAAAAATAGTTTTTTTTTTAAATTTGCATATTTGAATATAAAATTACCATTATCTAAAGTGTAAGCAGCATGATCATAGGGAATAGCTCCAGGAGCAGACTGAGTTTGGTGAAAATTGTTGTTGTTGTTGCTGAGAACATTGTTATTCACTGGTGACCTCTTGCTTGGTGAAGACTGATTCGTCGCCACACCTCGCTCCTCTCGTTTGGGGCTTTCACCTCTGAAACAAAAGATTATATAATGAAGTATGTTTAAATAAATTTAGATTTCTACACTGTATATCATCATGACGAAATTATGTCTTAAAATATTCGGGCGTAATATTTTTTCTAATGAATATCTTGCGTCATATATAAATATTCAAGTTTTGGTACTTATTTGCTTGCCTGCGGAATGGCAAACAAAAATTCTCAGGATTGCACAAAAGCTTTAGCTCTGGTTGCAGTAAAACCAGACCAAAACGAGTGACAAATTCCGACAAATTCACCCGACACAAAAATAAAATTACATGGGTACATGTTGGAGAATAAAGTCTTAAAATATTTGCCATGTTGAAATTTTTCAAATCTGACAATCAAAGCTTTTATACCCACAAAATCTTACAATTAGAATAAACCTTTTGATTGAATAAAATATACAAATTTTACCTAAATTACAGAAACCTAATTAAAATTATTTCTTATTCCATTCTTTTGATAAAAAGAAATACGCCGTTTAATTCATTCATTTATACATTGTAACTGTTGATAAAGATAACCTGAGCATAGAAACTAAATAAATAGAGAAGCAGAGAAAAATTAATCTAAAGCAAGTTAAAAATAAATAATAATTATTCCGTAATATATTCATTAAGCACAACACAAAATACTAATCAAAACTTATCAATGTACTGTAAAATATATATTTCATGAATAATTAAATAATAATAAATTTTAAGCACTTTTGTTAAAGAACGTTCAATAATAAAATAAAAGATAAAACACCTCATTTCATCTAAAATTGTAGAATTAAATTGCGGTTTAAAAGCCTCATAAAGAAGTCCAGAATCTTCAAGCTCCAGCATTTTTCAGAGAAACTATTAAAAAATTATTGACACCACAAACATCAAAAAGTTGTACTCATTCACTGCACACCTTCGAGACTGAATGAGAAAAGCGAAGCAATACGTGTGAGAACGAGAAACCTATTCCCAGCCTCTTTCGCCTTTTGCGGCGCCAAGAAGAAGGGGAAACTCTCAATTACGATTGTGCATCGTGTGGGATTATGCGAAATTACCCCGACTTGCTTGTGCTTTTGATTTATTCTCTTGCTACGCCTGCTTTGTTTTTATTTTCTATGAGAAGATTGGAAAAGAAATATATAGACAAGTTTCATAATGCACACGAGCGTGCCACGGAAGTTGCAATCGAAATTAAAACGCACTCTTGAACGCACTCAAGTGGTAAAATTTTAATTAAAGAGCAGTGTCAATGACCTCTCAGTCTGGTTAGACTTGTTTTCAACTCCATTTTAAGCTGGAGTGAAAAAGCTCAATTAAAAATATTACACAACAGAGTCACTCGATTTTTTTCATGAAAATTTACTAAAATATATTTATAATCAATTTTGTAAAATTCGGAAAAAATATTATGCTGTGAACATGTACGTGTTCTTAAAAAATTGTTTCTTTAAACGTTGATATAAATAAGCGGACAAAAGTTTTAAATATATATTTGCTGAAATATCTTGATCTGTTATTTTATTATTTCTTCCATTGATTTAAAAAATAACTGGGTGATAATTAAGAAATGAAAACCAAATTAAAACGTTTTCAACCTTTACACTATTTAGAAAATGATTCTTCATTGATGTCAAATTCACATAAGTGCACAGATCAGCTTTATATATAGATGAGGATTAAATAAAAATATTATAATTTTTGGGTTATTTAAATTCTTCTGTAACTGACTAATAAATACACATTTCTATTAAATATATTCTAATAGTACCGTTAAATAAGTAATATAAATAAAAATTAATTAGTATTAACTATATTTATGCTATTCCTCATAAAGCTGAGGGTATTAGCGCAGCGGATATTATTTGATTTCATCAGCCTAATTTAATCACTAAACAAATATCCGCTTTGGCAACGCCCAAACCTTCCAAGGCTTTTGCTGAAAAAATCCATTTGATAAATTGTACATCACGGTGAAGCCATTTTACTAGTAGGTATTTATCATCAATTTTCATTCACATTTGCGCAAGTGTCTAGAATTATTTGATTAAATTTTTTCGGTGCATAAATTCTCCACTCATAATCTATTCGAAAGCCAGCAGCTAATTATAAAACATCATAAAATAAAAACGACCCAGTTTCTCGCTGATATGACAACGCGTCGAATTGTGGAAAAGGAACCCAACACTATTTATATAAGAAGTATAAAAAGCTGTGCGAGAGAGGCTGGCAATTGAAGCCAACAAGGCATGAACCAGATGAGGAAGGAACGGCTTAGCACGCAAAACACCAGCGTTCAAGCAGGCGTATGAATAAATTATCCACAGCCCAAATACAAGAGAGCACGCAAAATAAAGTTTATAGTTGAGCTCACAATCCGCGAGTTCAACGCCTGATAAAATTGCAAAGGAAGGTGTTGTCATTGCGTGGGTCAAATCGGAAAAAAATGACCTAGTTTAAAAAAAAATGGATTGCGTAAAAAATTACTATGGGCAAGGATTAGTATTGATATTTAACAACTAATAAACAAAATTAATTTTGTGAGGTTAAAAAAAAGTATTATAAATTGAAATTTTTTAATTAACTCATATTACGATATTACCTTTAAAGTTTGATTTTAATTTGCATTGCTTTTAATTCAAGTCATTTTCGTTTCAATGTTTTCCTATAGTCATTATTTTGAGAAACTAATTTGAATTATTTTTAAATCTCCAGTTCAAAGTAGAATTGCCCAGCTTTAATGAATTCCAATCACGGCACCTTTGTAGAATTCAAGCAAGGCAAACCTCGTCTCCGCTAATGACTTTTCCAAAGCCCATTCCCAAGATTCCGCTGCGAGTGCATTTCATGCATAGCGCCTGGTCTAAAAGTAGACATCGCTTGGATGGTTTTTCGTCTTTTCTCACCTTGAGAGGCGACACACGGAAAGGAAAACGAGACGACGGATCGAGAGCGAATGTGCCTCAAGCGCGACCCTTTTACATCTGAATTAAATGCATCGATTTCCATCAAACCGTCTTTCCGAATAAAAATTGGGCTTCGAGACGCTTTAATTTTTGTCTTTCAAAGCAGGACAGTGCAGATTAAACGCCATCAAACAAAGATATATTGCGGTCGATCAATAGAGTCTTTGTGCATTATTTCTTTTGTGTTCTGCTTTCAGGTACTACATTATTTATTTATCCTTTGCGCGACACACGATCAGGAAAAATCCAAAAATGATAGGGGTGTCCTATGTGGCCTCAGCTCGATATGCTTTTACGCTGTTTTTTTTTAATCGAGCGTTGTTTTAATTGTACGGCGGGGAACGAACAACAAACGTTTAACTTTTTGTGTTGACTACTGTTTATTAAGTTCTTTGTGGTTCTTTCCCGCTCCAATTTTTACAATAAAATTATGCTTAAAATAAATATAACCCTTCTTTAATTAAAAAAAATATATATTCCCAAATATTATAGATGAGCAAAAAGAATTTACAAGGAATGCAGATTAATAAATTAAATTTATAAAGTTAACAGCAGATTTGCACTACATAATATTGATTAATATTACTTGAAATAAAAAGTAATTATTAAAAAATTAGAACTCATTTCCGAGCGAGAGTGTATTTTACCTTAGCGGCTGGAAGAAGCATTTTGGCAGAACCATCCTGCCTTTGCGAGACTCTATTCTCAAGTCTTTGACACGCGTCGAGTTCTTCGACATTTGGCACCCCATCCTGCGAAATTCCGCGCGCAATTCTTCGTCAATCGGAACCGAACAAGTTCATCGGTGGGCAGCGGAGTGTGACGCGCACAACAAACCAAACGCTACTGGCTTACAAAGCCGCCTGGTGCTACCAAAACCACGAGGGCGCCGCTTATTTCCATGCACTGCAGTTCCAATAGGAAAGTCACGCACGTCGATTAAAACCAACCCTCCCCTCCGCTAGCCAGCCACACAAACCACCCCTTCGCGCACCTGCATTATCTGGCATGTTCTGATTAAAAATTGAATTTTGCAGCAACTTTCCTTGTACGTGTAATTTGCAAGAAAAAAATAATTATGCAAGCCTTATAATTTTAAATTAAATTCCTGTGTATTTTTAAGGTGTTGCGAGTAAAATCTTATTTTTTTTGCTAATATTTTTGGCATATAGATTTTAAGCAAAAAACAAACAAAAAACGATCATAAAAATTTCTTCCTCAAATTAATAATTACTTATTCTAACTGTCCTTACTTTATACAATTAAAAAAATGGAAAAATCGCCACTCACCTTTTGTTGAGGCCACTAGGCCCAGGTTCAGTCAAATTTCTCTCCTTCTTGTCCTTCATTCGGCCTCTCATAGATCCATGCCTGTGATATGGACTCTAAAAAATAAGAGATTAATGTAAAATATCTTAAATATCGAGATTCGCCAATTCTGTAGTAACTCTATATAAAAATTTAATTGAATCACTTTGAAAACTTACGCCATATCCATTGTCAGAGCTGCTCGCAGTGGATGGCGGGCTGCCTAGCTGTTCTCGTGTTAGGGGTGACATTCTGTGGCGCTCTCTTGGATTGGCGTAGTTGTTACTGACCGATACCCTGGTAGGTGAAAAACGTTCCTCCTGGTGCTCCATATTACCTTCAGAAATAAACAAGGATCTTTCATTTATAAAATTAAAGTCCCCTAAAATTGAAAAGTAATTTAGTAAAATTACTTTTCAATTTCAATTCAAGTAAATTTTTAGAAAAAAATATAGTTTTTATAATTAAAATAAGTTCTCATACCTCTGCTTTCGTAGACTCGCTCCTGATGACTTCTAGTCTGGTGGAAAGCAGGGGAAGGAGGCATGTTGTTGGAAGGCTGGCTCTGATTAGGTGAAGCTGAGGCTTCCGCCGGAGATCTGCCAAGCGCCGAGGCTAGCTGTTTGCTCGGTAGCAAAATGTAGCCTGAAAGCACAAATTACATCCGATTTCAATAAACACTCTGATTAATTAATTCAGGGCAAGCAAAAACATACCTCGCTCCTTGTCCAGATTGACGAGCTGCTCAGGCTGCCGGCGAAGGAGCCGAAGATACATCGGTCTGTTTTGGCCTGATAGGAAAGGATAAAATTTAGGAACCTTTTCAGCGTCTCTGTGCGACATGTTTTAATAAAGTTTTCAAAATAGATAGAAAAAGTCAGGGAAAAAGCTTTTTATGTGCACATGCAACAATGATGACTGTCAAAAAAGAAAATATTTTATTTATAGTTGTAAATGTTTACATTGTTGTTTTTCTTACTTTGATTTAAAAGGATCACATGTTATAATGAAAAATAAAATCATGCACGGTAAATTTCCTTCAATGACAAAATATTTTTAACTTAAAACAATTATAAACATTAAAATTATAATTCTGTTTAAAAATGATTTTTTTTAATTTACCATCAGGGGGCTGGTTGGGGTCAGTGGCAAGCTCCGCCGTCCACAGAGGTCCCTCTGTTGGTAAGCGAGAGTTGTTTTGATCGTCCTGAAACACATCAAAGTCGTGGATATGCATTAACTTATTAACAAAGAAGCAAGTTAGGACAGTTCACAAGAGTCGCTGGAGAGAAATCAATAGTAAATTGCCCTCATTGTCTTGTGCACTGCGGTAAATGCTTAACTAGCACTTCATCTGAATAATAAGAAAGATAAAATTGAAATTAATAATGCGCCGCTATTGTATTTTTTTTTTCAAACTAATACACATTCAGATTGATCCACAAAATTATTTTAAAACACAGCTTCTGAAATATTTTTGTTTTTAATTTATATAAAAAGAATGACCAAAATATTCAAAAAAATTTAAAAGACAAAATAATTAAAATTTACAATTTTAATAGTATATTTTTTTTGTTTTTACGTTCAACTTTGAGCACGGAATTGAGAAATAAATACTCTTTAGAGAAAAATCAAACAACCTTTGTTAAATAATCACGTCTAAACTTAAGCGATATCGATTTCAGAATTGATATTAAATATCAAATATGCGCATGGTAAATTTTTCCTAATGCACCTGCTTTGAACAAAACTACGCAGCGCATTCTAAATATAACGGAGGAAAATCAGCTTCAACGCATATAACCTTCAAAGCTTGCTGTCTTGAATCTTGAAAACGTATATCAGAAATAGAAATGATATTACCTGACAAAACAATGGTGTCTGAAGAGCTTTGAAAGAAACGATTCTGCACAGCAGCATGGTGCTGTTTTCTGATTTTCCACCCTCGCCCCTCGCACCAGCACCACCCTCAGGCCTTCGCTTAGCCTCCCTTAGGTTCAAGAAGTCGCAAAATTTTTGCTCAAAACTCAAAATTCGCCACGAATTTTTAGTTGCCGAGCTTCACAGACCAAAGGGCACAACTGAAGTTCAGCTTGAAAAAGTCGATAAGGGGGAGCGATTTGGTGCTCGTCACGAATTCACCCTCCCGCCGGCCTTCCACCCCTTCGTGCAGACACGCTATATTCCTATTCAGTATTTTAATGTTTAAATCCCCTTTCTTTCTGCTTGCAAGTCCGCACTGGAAAGTGCTGCTGCCAGATTTTCGTTTCTCGAATGATTTGGAAAAGCGTGCCGGGCGAACTTTCGCTGTGATTTCTTGAGCGGGCGCAACGCAATTCTTCAACACAAAGGGTTGGCAAAGCAGGATGTTGGTACCAAGGCCGTGCGAAAAACCATCAATAAAACGAATAACACTAGTGACAATGACCGTAGCGTTTGCAATTTTCACCATTTTCCCAGAAACTTCTGCCACTGACGTAATAGCAAAAAAATAAAAGCAGACCTGTTTCTTGATTTATTTAAAAAAATTAAAAAAAAAAAAAAAAAAAAAACATAATTGGCTATGAGACTTTTTACTCACTAGTTATTATTATTTGCACATACATTTAATTTTTTTTCTTTTTCCTTAATATCATTGACGAATTGATATTTTTTATTTAAAGAATTTGACAAATGTGGGTTGATTCATTTTTTATTTTTTTTTTATTTTTATAGGTGTTTGAATTTAAATCTAACCCATACGGGAAAAATCGAAATTTAAATTTAAACACCATGATTGAATTTTTCCTTTCATCATACAATATACATGTGCAACAGAATGAATTTTTAAAAGAATATTTTAATATTAGGAGGTTTTTTGCTAGCAAGATTTTAAAAAGTAAACGAAAAACCGTAAGAAAATAACAAGCCGTTCAACAATTGAGAATTACTGAAACCAAATTAAGAGATTGTTGGCATAATTATATATAAAAGGCGTAACGGTTTTAAAAAATCGCTCATTGTCGATTTGAACTTCAAGAGAGCAAAGTTCACTGCGATTACCATGGATCAGCCGAGCCTTGAAGTCCAGCAAGAAGAACTTGCCGTTGTGGCTGTCCAGCCCGGCCGCACCAAAAGTCGCTCTCGTCTCACTTGTCCTCCCCGCAACCAATCTAGCCGCAACCTTTCTGGTCGCGGGCGCTCCCGCAGGAGTTCTTCCAACCGCACCAGGAAGAATTCCGCAAGTGGCTCGAGGAAAAGATCACCCAGCGGCAAAAGAGATCTTCGTAAGCGTCCAACGAAGAGACCGGTTCGGTTCACTGAATCGGAGGAGCCGGCCATGAAGAAGCCGCGGAAAAACGTCAAAAAGGACCAGGAGAAGGTAAAAAAAGGTCAAGAAGAACCCGAGGAAAATCAAGAAGCCCATTAAGAAGAGAGACAATAGAAAGAGGCGCTAGAGACCTTTTCAGAATGGATGAGACTACGTTAAGACGACATGGCTAAGGAATTTGGACTTGTATGGATTGGAAAGAAAATTAAATTCCTTTTCCTCAAACCCAGAAGCGCCTAATTTTTTAGATCGCCGTGAATTATTTTACAATTTTTAGAACCAAAAATATTTAAAACTTGTCATAATAAGTATCAAAGAATTAAAAATTTGAAAAATTCTCATATTTTAAAAGAATTTTTTCAAACCATTTGTTATGTATAGTATTGCAACGGACACAACGTGTTCTTAATTTGAAAAATTTTCATAATCAGAAAAAAAAACGTTATAGTTATGGCCCCCATAATTTATTGTTGAAATTCAACGATTTTCATAGGAATTCAAATTCCCTTAAAATTCTTAAAGGCATAGTCAAAACCAGTCTCAACAATATGATTTTTTTCGATTCTTGGAAGACAATTTTTGAAATTTCAACCACCATTGTTGTGCTATGTCAATAAGGAATTTTTAACTGTTCAAAAAAAAAATCGAATTTACGCAGAATTTGAAAAATTTGTGAAAAAAATGCATCGTTTCAAATATGAAATTAATTAGACCTAAAAATTAATTAACCAACACATTTATAATTCAAATAATAGTTAATAAACATTAATTTTTCATTTTTAATTATTACAACAAATAATATATTTTGATAAAAAAAAACTTCACTCTGTTCACAGTATATCAAAATTTTATCAGCGACATTCTAAAGGAAATATTGGGCGCGACTTAACATTTATTCTTTTTATTAATCAGTGTTTCTCAGCACGCGGAAGTAATTTACCTATGGTCTGACCCTCTGACCCACAATCAAGTGACCGGAAAGTGTCGTGGGGAATTTTGACAAGAGGCAAAATTATACAAGTGAGCTAGCACACATCACTTATGATTGAAAAAATATCGATTAACATTGGCGAGCAGGTTGCTACATATATTATTAATTTTATCACAATTCCTAAAATGAGCATTCTGCATTTGACGAATAAATTACTGTCTAGCCAGCGTCTCATGAATTATTTCCCTTTTAACCCCGATTTGCTTTCGGGCCGGGCCTAAGTAGCTTTGCAACTATTAATAAAGCAACCTTTATAAGATTACGGCTTCGAGGACGTTATGTGTGAAAAGACCAGATTGCATTTTAGAAGAAGTGTTCTGCCTCATGCGATTCTCAAATGAGGGTAATTTGCATAAAGTAAAGCCTATAGAAATTTCAAATTATATGAAAGATAATCTTACTTTTAAAGCTGCAACGGGAACCAATTCCCAGGTGTCATCAGGAACATCTGTGTTGACGTTGTCAGTGTTAACGTTTTTAGGTTCTGGCATTTCTACTTTTGGAGGTGGCGAGTTTGGCGGAGGCCCTTCCATTTGGAACGATTGGTATTCCTTGACAGGCGAAGTCAACTGGTTGTTGACTCTTTTCCTGCTTGGACTCCTAGAGCCCTTGCTGTGGAAAATAATAAAACATTAAGTTGTTTATTTTTGGTCAAAAAATCAATTTGCATGGCTTTGATCTACGCGCATTATGTGGGGCAGCCGCAAATAAAAGTCGCATGTCTATGAGAAAAAAGGCTAAATCTACAACAGTCTCCTGCACGCACTTAGCCTGATTTCCTTTTTCATATCTCTAATAATAAAACTGGCCAGCAGGCAACGCAGCATGCTTAACAAGTAACAGTGATCTAAAGATTAGATTTATTTCTTAAGATACGAAGAGGCATAAAAAAAAGTGCAAATCGTTTCTATGAAGTCCAAAGTTAAATTACAGGGGGCCATTTCATTAATCAAAAGGCATGGCAGACGCTTTCTAGTGTTGTCATTTGTGTGGGATGTCTTGTTACATTGTCTGCCCATATCGATTAGCAAGGGTGCATTGTACGGCCTTGGAATATACCTTGACTTTTGCCTGTTGGAGGAAATGGGTCTTGTATCCTCAGGAAGGGAGTCTTCGCTACTTGCTCTTCGGGCTGCGGAGAAAAGTTGACCCCTCGATCTTGCAGAACCTGCACTTGTTGATCCACTTCCAGCCAAAATCCACTCAACATCTGCACCTAAAAAAATTTTCAAATTATTATCTCTGCGTCAAGATGAAAGTTAAAATTACCGAATGGCGAACCTGATAATCCTCGAGCTGCTGCGTTTGAAACTTGAACACTGTATAAGATGAGTCCTTCGGAAGAAAGAACAGGAAGAATTTTTCTCGCCAAGCGTCCATTTACTGCCGAGTGCAAAGCGTCGATGGACTGCTTTGTCCTAAGTTTTTCGTCAGCTAAGTGGATTGGAAGAGCAGAGGTGTGGATGAATTGTCCGAGAACGGCTGTGCACTCCAAAGCAGCCTGTCGAACTCGTCGTTTGCCATCTGCTAGTGATGGCATAACCTTTAAGAATTAAAATAAATTAGTTTTAAAATATAATCAAACTAGAAAAACCCACAATTTTAGCAATTTCAATTGCGTCAAAATCAGAACTAGGAAAAGTGAGCAGGCCGAGGATAACCAGCTGGAGTGATGCCTCTCGGTGGCGATGATTTCGGGCTTTGACGTTTTCAGCCAGCGCCTCCATCACCATCTGCGGCCCTAAAACCTGCATCAGGGCCTTGGCTGCGTGGGCCGCCTCCATCTTCACTTCGGCCCGAGAAGAAGCTGCCGGTCTGCAGAGGGAGCCGCAGATGTGTCGAACGTGTGGTCCCAGTTTGTTGCCCAAAGCCTCTGCCAGACGGGCAAAAGTACCCAGGGTGGCACTCACCACCAGTGGGCTGTGGTCTTCCAACATTGAGTCGAGGAACGTCAGAAATTCAGGCAGATGGGCTCTCAGGCGTTCGACGGCACCAGAATTACGAAGGGCCGCTTTGAGTTGTTGTGCGCCTCGAACTCTGGCACGCCAGTCATCCTAAGTTTAAAAAAGATATTTATTTTGGATTCAATTCAATATCATGTTATTAAATAAATTTATTTATTGCTTCAATTATTGTGATTAAAATAAAAATTTATAGGATGGCAAATATATCAGCATACATAGTGAAATAATAAAAAAATTATTTTATGGCTCTATCGTCATGAGAGAATTATACTTTTATTGCTCCTCAATTTTTTGGTTTTGAATTTTTTAAATGAGTTATTTTCCTAATGAGTTGAAATTATTATCAAGTTTTGTATTACTATGCTGAGTAAAAACGATGTACATTAAAAAAATAGTAAATTTAGCTTTACGGCAGCCTTGAACTATTTTTTGCAACTTAAAGTACCAGAAGGATTGAAGACTCCATAAAACGAGTGTTTGTTATCTCAGAATAATTCAAATTTTACGCTCCATAAAGTAAAATCATAAAGTAATAAAGGATTGCGCAGTTCTTCTCGAGTAACACATAAGTATGCTCATAGCTTCAAGTTTTTGATGCAAGGACGGGGTCGATGATTAAAGTAAGCAGCACGCTCGCCACTCGTGCGGAGCAATTTGCATACCCCACAAGGTGCGCACACAAAATTTCTGCGGGGGCGGCGAATCGGACGAGACTAGTGTAATCATTTGTGCGCTCGATTTTCGTTCGGTCAAGCAGAGAATTATTGTAAGGGCAGATCGCGAGAAGCAGAATATAGAGATTGAGGGACTTGTGTTTGCCTTACATGGTAAATGCCCATTTGCATAAGGTGGCGTGCGAGAGTGCGCCGAATGAGGTCACTCTAAGAAAAGTGACCACTGGGGGAATGGATTTTGTGTTGTATTATTAGCGGCGGAGCGGCGGCGACGGTGTTGGGGTTGAATGTGTAACACTTTTACACGCCAAATGGTCTTTCTGCGTTTTGCACAAAGTGACCCGAGTGCTGCAGTAAAAAACGTTATTTGCCACAACGTAATTATAAAAATATACAAAAAGTATGTAACCTAAAGCAACTTCCGCATTTTTATATAAAATTTTTTATGTACAAACTAGATAGTTTTAAGTAGATATTGATTTTGCTGTTCCACTTTCAAGAAAGAGGAATTTTAAATGAAAGAAAATAAAGAGTGGGATTCAATTAAAAGTTGGAGCACATTAAGAACACTCTTCGTTGCAAATTTGAAGTGCAGGCAGAAGCAATTTCAAGAGCTAAGGTCACGCTAGGCTCTCGCCTGTGGCTCCTTCCGCTGCCCCCGTGCACATCTGAATTATTTGCTACACAGAGTAAACCTTGAACTAGCGGCAGAATTAATTGCTTCCTAACCGGAGGTGTGATTTGAATAGAAATGAAGCGCCGACGCCGCGCCACCAAAATTTGGCCTTGGCTTTACTGACTCTCAAATTGGGAACAAAGATACCATAAATTAAAATTAATCCCGTAAAACTATATTGAGGCAAAATACAAAAATCTGTACTCACTCGGTCTCTGAGATCCTCCATGACGGATTTATCCACAATGCTGAGGTCTTCCCAACTTGCGTTTTCAGCTGCTTTCTTTTGGATTTCGTCCAAAGAGGCCAAAGCAGAGGCCACCCTAGAAGCGTCCTCCGCGGCTGAGGGTGCCTGACGCGCCTTGGCTGCTTCTTCCCTCTCGTAGTCGGAAGAACTTGCGGTTAGAGATTCTCCCCCATCAAAAGTAGGGATAGGCGACTCCCTACCTCTCGAGTTGTTCTTCTTTCTTTTCGGCATTGGCTTCTTTGAAGGCGACTTCTGGGGTGATGAAGAGGGAGGAGAATTTTGGACATTTTTTGAAGTTAATGCGGTTTGTTTCTGAGATTCAATTGGGGGCATGGGTTTGTATTGCTGCTCCATAATGGTCGGGGAGGAAACTCTTATTTCTGGTCTCGGCGGCACCTCAATTTGCTGATTTTCAATTGAATTTGATCTTGCACTGAGCGGATGTTCTTGAGATCTAGACCTTGGCCGAACAGGATTGACCTGGAAAATAGAATACTCCTAAAAATTCTTTTAAAATTTGTTTTGTTATTTTCTCACCGAAGGTCCATTATCCGTCTTGACCCTGACAGGTATGTGACTGACAGGTGGCTGCTTTTCCACTTCTAGAATGCTTTTCCTCCTGAATGCTGGACTAACATTCTCTTTTACTGTGTCATCATTCATGATTACAATAGGTGACGGTGTCTTGAGCTCACTTTCTCCTCCGAAACGAACACGACGTCCTGTGCCCACTCTTGATCTTTGTGAACTGGCGGATTTTCCCCTTATAAACATTCCATCTTCTTCATAGTCTGAACTGGGCTGGCTGAAACTACTGCTCGCTCCACTTCCAACTCCGCTGCCTGACCGAGACTTCGGATTGTCCATGGAACTTGACCGACCAGATATGGGACGCTCAGCAGAGCTGCTTGACGAGCTTGGAGCGGGGCGCTGCACGGCGCTGTTTTGAGCGGGGCGCTGGACTGCGCTGTTTTGAGAAGGGCGTTGAACAGCACTGCTTGGAGCAGCACGCGTTGGACTGGGCGAAGGAGCCCTTTGAGAACTCCAAGGATTTCTGCTTGGATCGGATGCTGTATCGTCTGAACTGTACTCCCTGAACTCTCTGAACTCTTTGAACTCCGGCTGGTCGTCACTCAAAAACCCCAAGGGTTCTGAAAGGTCCAAGGGATTCGACGTGTAGTCCGACACTTCATACACTTGGCAAAGTATGCTGAAATCCTGCAGACATTGAGGGCTGCACTTTGCAAGAATGTGGTTGAAATCCCGTTCACCAATTGTTTGACGAATTTTTACCAGGGATCTGCAATTAATCAGAGAATCGCAAACATTTAAAAAAAAAACATATAAAGTAGATAAATTATATAACATTATTTTTAATTTCATGAAAATAATAGAAAAATTGATTAAAACTTGTGAAATATTACTTGAGAGCGTGTTCTTGAAAAGAGATCTGAATCAACTTCTTAGCAATTGTGCCAATCATGATGGACATTGTCTGCATGGACACCCGGTCGTCCAGGAGCAGGGGAAGGTGGATGACGACGCCAAGAGCAACATTTCGGTCGTCACTGTTAGCTCTGGCAATGACCGTTCTGAGGACGCCATCCGGCGAATCTGATTCCCTGATGCAGGCTCTCAGGGTATTCGAAGCGCCCTTCCGGACGGCGGCCGAGGGATGTCCCAAATTAGTGATGAGCTCCGATAACACAGACGGCAAACAAATCTCGAGACGGTGATGTCCCAACACAGGGACGACGTCTGTAAGCACCCTGAGAGCATGTTGCCGCACTTCCCACTCCCCATGGCGCAACCGAGCACTGATTTCATAGAAAACAAGAGTAACGTCGGTTTCAGCGGGAATGTGGCCAAGCCGAGTGACCTGTGGACCCAAAATATTTGCTTTTTAACAACTAAAAATATTATTAACCAAAAATTCTTGCTTTAAAAATTTATATTTTACAATAAAAAAAAGTAAAAAAGGGACTATAAATAAGAGGGCACTCCACCAACCTGTTCCCACAACGGTGTTAGGCCAACTTTTTGCACTGGCTTATTATTATGAGAAGGGGTGCCTTTTTCCTTCTGTCCTGAGCTTTCGACTTTTTCGCCGGCGTTATTGACTTTCGAGGCGGTCTTCATGGTTGTCACATGTCATTTGGTCAGCGTGCATGCGAGAACTGAGCGCTTCGCACTTCTTAGGGGGCTGTTTCGCGCCGCTCAGGCGCATTGATTCAGGTCACAAGTGAATGTATTTAACGGCACACAAGTCGGCCCGCACGCCGAGCTGCCCCGAGATCTAACCCTTTGATAGTGGGCACGACAGAGTTTTCTTATATATTAGATGACCAACATAGAAAAGAACGTCTCAAAATGCAGGCCACTTCGATAAAGACCAACAGAGCGAGAGTATGGCAACAAAAGAGCCACTTTTGGTGGAAAATTTTAATCGCGTGTAAACTGGATTTCGCAGTTTCCTCAAAATTCACCTTTTTAAAAGAGGATTTATAATACAGATTGAAGTCGGTACCGGTACACAATTTTTAATATATACAAAATTTCTTAAATATGCAAGTGTTTTTAAGATAATTTTTTTTTCAAATTATATAGTGGCCGCTCATTTATTTTTTTATCCTATAAATATTTAAAAAAAAATCGTATTTTTATTGTATTATTTTAATTTTTGTATTGCTGCTTCATAAACTAGACCAAGAGCACTCAACAACCAATCAATCAGCTTGGCCATCAACCCACACATGACTTGCCCTCTACGAACGAAACACAAAAGACATCGATTCTCCTAATGAATAAAACGTGTACATCAGTTCTTTCCGTGTTGCTCTCTTACTGACAAAAAATAAATACACCGGTTGTAAGTTTTTCGGCCGACGCACGAATTTTATGTTGGTGTGACTCAGCTCTTTAATATCCAGCAGACCGCACGATATCTTGAAATGCACCTCGCTGACCCAAATTTTTATGGAAAATTCACCCGTCCAGCGCACCCCGATTCAGACCCTGCCACACTAATTTTCATTTGACGCGCATTAAGGGCAAATCCAGGACAAAAGTTAAAATTAAAACTTCCTTGAAAATTAATAGTGAGATCGCTTATGCTAAGAATGTTTTTTAATCTAGCGCTCTAATCAATTTCACCTAAATTAAAGCTATAAGGAATATTACGTCATGTAGAGTGATTACAAGAGCGGTAATAAAAAATTTAACAAATAAATAACCATGAATATTAAATTTGATCTCATACAATATTTTTAATAATAGTAATAGCGCTGTACCTGAATAATTACCATCTCATTAATTTTAATTGTCTTTATCAAAATATATTATATAAAAGGAAATATAAATTGAAGAACGCAAAATATTTTCATATCCCATGAATAACTCGCTACAAATTTTTAACTCCAATGGTTTCTAGTTTCTATATTTTAAATGATATTTTACGAAATTACCTTAAAAATTAAAGCTGAACCGTGACTCTATGGTATCCTATCTTGGCTATCTCTATCTGTGTTTAACCTGTGCAAGGGCCTACCTATGGGAAAAATAAGCCAAAATAGAAACTTGAGAGCAAATAACATTTTTTTTTATCTGAATTATGACAAATAAGAAACTCTCTTAAATTAATAATACAGTGAAACTGTGTCAAGCACATACTTTTTTTCAAAAATTTAATTAATGTTAGTGGACTTTAGATTGAATAAATATTTACATACGATTGCACTTTAATTTTGTAGAACTTTAATTCACACAGAAATCCATTTACAACGTCAACCCTCATCCCTCGATTGTTTCACTCGACTCAGCTGCCATTGCCTCTCTGTTTTCATAGGTCCAAAATCCATTGAGATCAGTCAAAATACTGATCATGGTGTCTCCATGGCCGCTACATTAAGTCATTTTTAAATTGTGTGAGTGTGACATTAAATAATACTTGAATTACCATGAAAGTAGGTCTTGCAGAGTAATTTTCAGACAATTTTTAGGCCGGACCATGTCAAAAATTTCATCTTTCACATCCTCAAAGGAAACTGGTTCTTGACCATGCAATCTGAGCTGCTGTTGAATGGCCTAAAAGAAGATCATATTTATAAAAAATAGGTTTATTTTTTTAACCATCGCTTACCCTAAAGAAATAGTTCAGGCTGAAAATGTCAAGGTGGCCTTTTCCTTGGACATCTAAAATTCTGAAAAGGTAGTGCAAAGCTTGTGGTTCTGATCTGTTTTCAAGGGCGAGAACAAAATCCAAGTAAGTTTTGTAGTCCATTTCACCATCATAAGTGAGGCATTCTTGGAAAACTCGCTCCAGAAACACTGCTGTTAAAGTGCCCGTTCCGTAGCTGCACAGAGAATCAAATTATAAAATGCTTATATAACTTACAGTTATTATATTAACACACCCTCCCAGTTCTTCTTGACTAAGCATTCCATTGTGATCTCTGTCTAGATTAAGATACTGTCCGTAAACCCTCAAAGCTGAAGGTGCGGAAAACCAATTTGCGTCCTGCAGGTCTTTAGGCAGGTCCTCGTCTCGGAGCTAATAATACACCTTTAATTTACATTGCAAGTGGGATAGAAAAAGCTCACTTCAAGCAGGTCATCAAGAAATGAACAGGCAAGTACATCTTGTATCCGAATCCTTCCAGTTCGAAGAGGATCCAAGAAGAAGAAAAATTTTCGAACAGCAGTGCAAACATAAAATGAATGAAATGATTTCTCCAGGCCATCCAATTGTGGCAAGGTTGGAAGCAGCTCCAAAATGTAGTTTTCGAGGTCCTGCACAGATATTATTATATTTAAGTGAATATTTTCCGATTTATTGTTCTTACTGATTCTCGAAGGTATCCCTGGCCAGTGACATCATACAAGGAGAGACCTATTCTGGTTTGCTGAAGCCAAACTTTTCTCATAACATAATTAAACAGGGCCATGATTGAGACTCGCCCGAATGGATCTTTGGTCTGCAGCTTGGCGAATACAGATGGTTTAAAGTACGCCCTGTGAATTTGTTGTTTATCATTTATTTTCCAGGAAAAAAATCTTATGGAATACCTGCTCTTAGGTCCTGCCAAGTCAGCAACTTTGAGGAAGTCTTGGTAATTAATCATTTGCTCATCTCCTGATAATGGAGGAGTATGGTGTTTGTCTAAAAGTACCCACAGTGCCTGTAAATAAATATAAGAATTTAAAATTTATTTATTACACACTAAAAAGAAAGTATTTATGTTCATACTTTTAATTCATTGTTATCAAGCAACTGACGGCTTTTTCTCTGCAAAAACATTGCTCGCGATTCCTCTCTCAATTTCTGAGCAATCAAAGACGAATCATCCTGAGGCAACTAAAATAAGAAAATTCCATTTAATTTTGTGCGCATGAATTAAATTCATCTTTTAAAAAATAAAGTGTGGTTTTAATAATACAAAAAAATTAAATTTACCTTGAAATAAAACTGAGGAATTGCTTGCAGAGTTGGATCAGCGGGTGATTTGCTGCTCTCCATCAATTCAAGAAAAAGCTTGTTTTCATGTTTGATGAATGATGTGTTTTCTTGTCCCAAAAGCTCCTTTTTCTTCCTCAAACGCCGCAGGTTTAACTTCAAAATTTCTTTCAAATCCATGATTTTGAACCATAAACTTAGAAAACAATAATCTCTCTTTCTCTCTCCGATGGCAGAAATAAAATCGAAAAAATTGTTGTTTTTAGGTTTGTTTACATGCGTCTCTCAGGCTGGCCAACATAAAAACAGCATGTTCCCGCGTCCACTGTCAAATTTAATGTCACATCTCCGATTGGCTACTGGTTCTTGAGCACGAGCTGTTCCGATAATCTTATTGGCTGATCGCGGTGGTCACAGTGACGTACGGTAACTACGTCACAACTTTCCCAGTTAGTACAAGATGGCTTCGCTAAATAACACAGGACAGGCCTCTGAGCCTGCAATTGATCGTCTTAAACAACTTTATCCTATGGTAAATGAAGAAGAAACACCTCTGCCGCGATGCTGGAGTCCCAAAGACAAGTACAATTACATCGGACTGTCACAAAACAACCTCCGGGTCCACTACAAGGGTAGGTTTTGTTCAACCTAATTCCGATGACTTTTCATTTTCGTCTCTCATCTTCAACTTTCTCGACTTTGTCACTCATTTGTGTCGATTCTTCAATTAACTTAATTGCAGTTATAAATTCACCAATCAATCAAGACTTTGTCGCACTGAATTCGGAAGGGTTCAGACGTTTTCACTTGTGTCGCAAGTTAAATTTACAGAAGCCTTGTTCCTTGTTGCCAAGGCTGATTGGTTCAAGTTTCCATTGCGTAAATTTTTTACAGAGCCTCGTGTGGGTCGTTAAAAAATTTGCTCGCATTAATAAATTTCGTTATCTATGTATCCATGATTTTTTTCAATATTTTTTTTTTTTTTGCTCAAATTAATTGCAAAATCAAATAATTTTGTTCGAACAATTTTAAGACGCAGATCAGCTGATGACAATGACGTCACGTGTGTCATTGGCATCTCGGCATTGAAACGCATGCATTTTATGATGCAGTTTTGACTTCCAAACGCTAAATGTGTAATCACCTCTTTCAGGCCATGGAAAAACACACAAAGATGCAGCCAGTGTCAGAGCCACACACTCGATTCCTGCTGCCTGTGGCCTGTATTACTTTGAGGTCAAAATAGTCAGCAAAGGCAGGGATGGGTATGTAAATATAATTTTTGCTTTATTTTTGAAAATTGATATTTATTGAAAAAATTCCAGGTACATGGGTATTGGCTTATCTGCTGAAAACGTGAACATGAACAGATTACCAGGTATATTTAAAAATAAGTAAGTAAAAAAAAAATTGACAATTATTTTATTAGGATGGGACAAACACTCGTATGGCTACCACGGAGACGACGGCCACTCGTTTTGTTCCTCTGGAACTGGGCAGCCCTATGGCCCAACTTTCACAACAGGAGATGTCGTTGGGTGTGGAATAAATTTGATAGACGGTGTTTGCTTCTACACTAAGAACGGACACAACCTTGGTGTCGCTTTCACAGACCTACCTGTAAAAACGGATTTTAATATAAGTGAAAGCAATTTAAGTATTATCATTTTAGCCAAAATTGTATCCAACCGTTGGACTGCAAACCCCTGGAGAAGTGGTAGATGCCAACTTCGGGCAGCAGCCTTTTGTGTTTGACCTGGAGGATGAAATGAAAGCTCTGCGAGCAAGAACTAGGGCCACTATTCAAAATTATACCATACCTGGTCCCCCTGGCCAATGGACCAGCACATTACAAAAGTAATTTCCATTCTTAATATTTGTACTGAATTAAAATGATAATGCTTAGGGTTGTGTGTTCATATTTGGTACATCACGGGTACTGCTCAACTGCCGAGGCCTTCGCTAAGTCTTCTGGTCAACAGTTCAACGAAGAAATTACTTCGATAAGAAACAGACAAAGTATGTCAGAAAATGTTTTTACGGCATTAATTTTATGCACAAATTGATTTACTCTAGGAATATTAAGGCTAGTCTTGGCTGGAAAAATTGGAGATGCCATTGCCGACACCCAGCGTCTTTATCCAGGGCTCCTAGAATCGGACGCCAAGCTCATGTTTTTACTCAAGTGCAGGCAGTTCATTGAAATGGTCAGCGGTGTTGACGTTTCAGACTCGCAGGTATGTGAAGATGCAAGTATTAAAAACTTTTATTTCATTACGTGGTGCTTTTAATTTAAGACGCCACCACGTATCGGAACACCTCAGCAGCAGTCGGTGATTCAGTCTACCAAAAGCTACAAGAAGCCTCGTTCAAATCTAGCAGCAAATTTCTCCTCCCCTGTTTCAGACATAAGTGGTAAATTTAAATACATTTTACATTCAATTTGATCTAATTTAAAAGAAGGCTCAGAGGAAAACTCAAACTCTTTGAATGGAGAGACTGATGTTGACATGGAAGCGAACAACCACAACAACGGCTGTCATCAAGATGGTCACGAAGACATGGGTTAGTCTGAATTTTGATGAAAGAAGGGAAAATTTTAACTTTTATTTGTAGAGGTTGACACGAATAATGCGAATCAGTCCAAGCAAGGTCTTCTGTGCGGTGGATCCAAGACAGCAGTCGAAAGGATGTTGTCGTTTGGTCGAGAACTTTACGCCCTGAGCATCGAGGTGAATAGAGACCCCCAGAGCAACCAGATGCTGCAGGATGCTTTCTCGCTCTTGGCTTATTCAGAGCCGTGGAAATCGCCAGTCGGCTGGCAGCTTGACCCTCAGCAGAGGGAACCAGTTTGTGCAGCACTCAACTCGGCCATTTTGCGTGAGTTTAAGTTTCCAAAAATAATTAATTTTTAGTTCTTCTAATTACCAATACTTACAAAATTGCGTTTTGAAATTCAATTTTATCTTCAATTTTTTATTGACTTTTTTGCAATGAAAGAACTAATTTTTACATATTTTAGTAAATTTTAAATGCTTCGTTTTGTAATACAGAATCAAAAAATCTTCCCCGGAGACCACCTCTAGAAATAGCCCGAGCTCACGCGCAGGAACTAGTTTCGCTGATGTCACGGTCAGGTCTCGGCTCATGTGCCTTTGCCAACCTGGATGAGCTGCTCTCTATTCCCTGACCGTGGTGCTGACAGTCAACCACCAACACTGCTGGCGGCGATCTCCTTGACACCTTAGTAAGTACCTCGCCCTCTGCTAGCTCGGAGGATCTGGAAGAGCTCTAGAACTACCCTCACCTCAAATTATCTTGTATATCAAATTCCAAGTGTCAACCGAGATGCTTGGAGTGGAAGAATTTTCTACGCGCACTACTTGCAAGCCTACTTTTATTTACGATCTAATATTTTTATGATCACAATTTTATTTTGCCATTGCGTTGCACCTTGGGTTGCCTAGAGAGATCTTTTTGTTTTCACACTGCTTTCTCCTTCAACCAAGATCTCTGGCTAGCTGAAAAAATCTCGGCTTATTTGCAAAAAAATTTGTAGAAATCAGCAGATAAATTAATTGTTGCCAAAGCTTTTTATACCGCAAAACTCTCACCGTTTTGGTCGCGCTAGAGCCCTTTGGACGAGTTTTTGTCGAACATTTACTGTTTCCTGTGAATAGATGTGTACAGTTTATAAGCTAACAAACTCAAGATTGTAACTTAACATCTAGATAATTGTATAAAAAGGATTATTAAAGATAATTTTAACGGTGCAGTGATAGAAATTTAAACTTGCAAACGAGCCGTTTGTAATTTGCTGTTTAAGAAATGATTTTTTGAGTGCCACTTATGAAACAAAGATTTTGTATCACTACATTTGTTAAGATTTTACGACGGTAAATTTTTTTACTTAAATGAGCAGAGTTTTTTTATGGTAGAAGAATAACAACCATGTGAATGATGTGCTGCTGAGATGGTGAACAATTTATAATCACACACTGATGACACAAAATTGAACTGACAAAAAAGCTGCATTGGATTACAATATATGTTAATTTAAAATACAAGAGCAAATTACCGTGGCAAAATTGAGTTTGATGTGTTTCTGTGATGATAAATTTAATCAGATGCAAATAATACGATTTTACTTACAAAATCTGAAAATTTGTTTATCTATTTCCAATTAACCAGAGTGAAATTTATGTTTTAAAGATTCCTAAGTAAATAATAAGATTGACAAATAAACCTAAACAGATAAAATAATATAAAAATGTTAATGGAAAAGAATTAAATGTAATATTTTTAACCCTGTGAAAAAGCTGTAGGTGCCTCTGTTGTGCCGGAGTGGGAAGCCGGCGTTTCGAGAGGCGCCGCACAGATGGTGGTGCGGAACGCCCGGGCAATTTCCCTAAAAAGTCAATGAATTGAGTGTGACGTCACGGGCCACCCCGAGGCTGGCGTCGCGCTTTTTGCTGAGCCCCTTGTTCGGAGGCAGCATAGGCAACCGAGACGTGAGCCTGCACCGGCGAGGCGCACGAGGCGGTCGTCAACAGATGGTGCTGGAGTCACTTGTCAAACGCAGATAGGATAGGGCAACTGGAGGAACTGCTCTGAACTCTCGGGCGGTCGGTCGGCTTTCCGACATTTGTATTCACGACTGGTGCCTCTGGTTGGGCTGAAATGGACCTGCTTTTTATATTAAGCTGAGTGTAATTAGCGCGAGGAAGGGTTAGTGGCCGAGTACTAGTGTTTGAGCAGCCTTTGGGGGCTCGGCGAGTGCGTCCGCTTCGGCAGCAGAGGCAGAGGGTGTGTGCCTTGGTTCGTTCGGCCCCGATCGACCGACACTGACGGACGACCGACCACAGGCCTGCCGAGGGATGCGAAATCGGCGATAGTGCCGACCAGCGACGAGCGAGTGCCGAATATAATTGTTTCGTGACCCGTGTTGAACTGAACCGCAGCAAACATTAACACGATCAGAAAAATGGGGTGTGCATTGAGTGCGGAGGAGAGGGCGGCCCTGGCCCGCAGCAAACAGATTGAGAAAAACCTCAAAGAGGACGGCATTCAGGCAGCCAAAGACATTAAATTGCTCTTGCTCGGTGAGTTTTGAACCCCGGCGCCGCTTTCGGGGCCTCTCGGGGCCCCGGCGCCGCCAAAAAAGCGGCTCGCGTGAACCGATCGGGGGTGGTTTTGGCAGCCGCGCCGCTCTACACGCCCTATTCGCGCCGCCGTGAGCCAAAACCCCCCGCTCGGTTCCGGGTCCTGCTAACCCGGTTTTCTGGAAATTTTGCCACCACTATGAGTTCAAATGCTGAATCCAGCCCCCAAATATCCTGATTTTTGCTAAAATATACTTAGAAAAGAAATTCTATTCTCTAAAGATTGACCTGTTTTCATCCCTATAAATCAATATCTGGAGCAGGGATTTTCAAAGCAAATATAATTTCATTTTTAGTCACCGTCTTTCTCAATAATTCCCTTCTAAACGTAGCTGTTTAAACGGTGCAAAAGTTTTTATTTTTTATAAATATAACTTCAGTTCAAACTATTATTGGGATTTATATTAAATTTATTTAAAAAATAGTATTGAATTATGAAATAAGAAATAATGAATTTTTTGTTTCATTTCAGAGTATTTGATATTAAGATATGATTAAAATATTAAGTAAAACTTTTCAAATATTTTTTTTTTTAATTTAATAAAGTCGACCAAAGTAAATTTTAAAAACTATTGATGTTTTCTGTAAATTAAATATTAATTTAATTATTATTTTATTTTTTATAAATTAATATTGTTTCTTATGACAAGAGCAAAGATTAAATCAGCTTAATTTTTTAAATGATCTATTTTCCTACTCTGATATTTTTCTATTGTAATACGCTCTAGGTCTTTAATAACGAATTATGAATTTCTGCTTTGCTTTTGGTTTTTCACAATTGAGCTTCTTATATCCTTCTGTTAATCAAAGAGCGAATATAGAATATTTTCAGAAATTAAATTTAGATATAATGGGATTTTACAATAGTAAATTTACAAAATTTTGCAAAATAATTTTACAACATGTTTTTGCCCAGATATAAATTCTAATAAATATACTCTGGATTTCGTGCAATGAGGTAGACAAACATTAAAATTCCAGTTGAATATTATAAATATTTCTCACTATTTTTTTCTAGCAATAAGTATTAGGTGGTAGCGTTTATAAAATTTAAAAGGTCATTTGTGACAAGTGCGTTTCACAAGCGAGCGAGCGGCGTAGGGAAAATGATTGCCCAAGACCTCTTCCAACCACCACCAGGGAGGAAGAAAAGCTGACAGCAAACAAAGGACACCGAGTCCCGGTAGACCCGCAGACGGAAAATCAGACTTGCATAAAATTGCTTCGGTTCCAACGCGAAGGTGACCCAAATATTGAAGCCCCAGGGAGGAAAATGAATGAAAATTGTTTCGCTCGAGTAAATACGGTTCTGGAGATAAAATTAAAATAAAAAATGAATTCTTTCATATAACATTTTATTAAAAAAAATAATCAATTAAAAATTCACTCTTTCAAATAATATTCTTTTCATTTCGGTCGCCCGGTGCGTGCATGGGCAATGTGTGTCAGCCGCGGGTCGGTTGCGCGTTACAAATTTAGCCGGCGGTGCGTGTGGGAGTTGTCCGTGTGTACGGCGCAGAGTGTCCGTCCGTCCGTCCCTATGCATGAAAGTGCGCGCCGACGGTGAGACCGTCGTCCCCCGTGACATAAACATCGGCCGGCCTATCGATTGCATTCGTTTCTCGCAGCCGCTTTTTCCACATTTCGTTTTGCGGCGGTTGACGGACGAAATCGACCCCAGTAGGCAAATTTGTGGACTCTTGTAGCGTGTCGACCTTTTTCGACTCTGCGCCCTTTTTGCATGAGCGATTACAAACTGAAACGCCGGCCGGCAAAAGTGAATATAAATTTTTGAATATCTCGGTGCTGCCGGCAAGCAATCCACTTTATATGCGTTTCCGTCTGGAAACGTGGAGTTTGTTGGCGATTATGAGCCGTTTTTCAGCGTGGCAATTTCCGTGAAATGCATATTTTAACTTCGTTGCGTGTCAAAAAATATCGTGTTGCAAGTTGCAAACAATTGTTTCGTTGGACATTTCATATTTTCTCTATTCATTCAATTGAGTGCTGTAAATTAAATTGAAGAGAAAAACTGGCAGAGAAATATTTGGTTGATTTACTTTTAAATCTTCAACGCAAATACGAATGATAACATTAAAAAGTTCAGGGGCAGATTTTTTATGTTTAATAAATATGTATCCTCTAAATTATCTAAAAAAAAAATGAAATTTTGATTTAATTATTTCTTCTCTAATACCTTGGCGAAATTAAAATTTTGTGTAATTAGAGCACAAATTTATACGTTAGAGGTATTTTAAAGCATCACCTTGGCTTTTTTAAAGTTTTTTATTATTTGTTATTAAAAATTGCACTTTTATATTTGTTGATTTTATATTCCGCTTGCCCATGCTTTGCAGCTAAAGGAGAAATAAAAATTTATTAATTAAAGTCCATACTTTTTCATAATGCCTAAAAAAGATTGAAAAGACATTTTTAATATGTTTTTTATTTTATCTTTTATATTAATTCATCTTTATTTTGTGTGGTTTGTTTAGCTCTAAAGGGAAAGAATAACATTTTACATAAAATGTCTCTGCCATTGATAATGATCAGCAAAATTAGAACAGAAATACAATTTTATATTAAAAAAAAAAAATGTAAAAAATTCTAAGTTTAGAAGCTGCTTAATTCAGCTGCTTTTTATAATCGTTTCCTTGTGGAGGTTAAAAAAACCATGCATTGTATTTCTAGTAAAATGAAAATTGCTTTGCATACAAACAAATATTTTGATCAACATTTTTAATATCGTCATTCAAACCATTATTTTAATGGATTGAAAAATATATAAATTTTACTCAAAACAAATTGTACCACCGTGGACTATGTAGAAAATGTAAAATGGTGTACGAAACAAATTGGAACAAAAAAAGCATCATAAAAAACGGCAAATGAAAAAATCGCACTTGACAGAACTCGTTGCGCAAACGATTCGAATTACTTCATGGAAATGGAGACTGAGAGAAAGCGAGCCGTGCGAAACAAGCTCGCGAATTTTCCCCGGCGGACCGAAAAATGAGCTCCTGTTTCTGCGGTAATGCAATGAATGTAGCTTCAAATTGCACAGGGCCTAGGAAAACAGAGGACGGCGCAAATTTTGTGCACGAAAAAGGGTAAAAATGAATTCATTTTGCCGCCTCTCATGGTGATTCACGCATACTTGTGTACAATCAAGTCTCTGTTTCTTCGCCGGCAGCTTTTTGTTTATTCGCTTCATACACGCCACGATAAGTCATTTAATGGCGCCAGGCTCCACTTTTTTCTTTTCCTTTTTCGGCCAGCAAGACACGCCGGCAAAACGTATATGTAAATAAGGAAGGGCGTTTGCTGTGTGTGTGTTCGTTATATTTATTTTGCAGTCGCGGCGGCGGCGAGAATCAAGAGCGACACAACATTTCTAAACGCTCGTGACAAGGTGACAGTTTTCTCGCGGCGCACCAAATCTGATTTACATGATGCACGTTTACAAAATACACACGTCAGTCGCACTCGGCAACTCGTCGTCCGCGGCGTGCATGGACGACTCTTTAAACGTAACAATCATTGCATATACGCGGGAATGAATAAGTCGTGTTGTTGCGCTGATGGACGAGGTCAGCTCCACGCTGAGAGGAAAATTGAAGAGACGCCGCCAGATCGATCGGTTTTGCTCTCAATGTCGGAGAAAAAAATTATGCCTACACAGTGTTAGTCTTTGTATCAAAATAATGCAGCTCACTATCCTCAAGAATGAGTATAGATTTTAAATTAATAATTAATAATATAATTTATTAGATAGACTTTCACAATGATTTAAATTACATTATAGGAAATAAATAAGAAATTTATTTATAACAAGAATATTATTTTATTTTTAGCTAATTTGCTTTTTATTGAAATTCATTAAATTTAATTGATAACTAACTTAATAATAGGCCTAGCCAAGCGTTAATATGTCTTCAAAAAAATGTCGATATTTTTGTAATAAAGCTTCAGCTACGCTCCACGTGGTTTTAATTTTAGCCAGCACTAATTAATAAAATGCAATAATGATCATATTATTCCTATATTTATTTAACATATCAAGAATTAAATATACTTAAAACTTATTGAACACCATGTCACTAAAATTCAGCATTTTCTCATAAATAATTAATTTTTGAAACCAAATCTTGTTGGCAAAATTATTCGTCAATGAAAATTTTACACTTAATTGTTAGGAGCTTAATTCTGCACTGCAACCAACAATGTTGATTTACCATTAGACCGAATCCAATCAAATATCCGTCGGCCGGCGATGCAATTACACGATTCAGCGCACCGGCTGCATCTATTTGCGTCGAATGACGTGTAATTTGAGTCCCAAAGCCCAAAGGCAATTCTCCAGCCAACCCCATTTGCCAATTGTTGGGTTTTAATTATCCTGCTAACTTTGTCGTCCACACTTGATTGGTGTTGAATTATTAATGGCGATTATACCGCCAGCAAATTGAATCGAACGGCCGATAAATTCATTTTAAAGTTTTTTTGCATTACACATAGTTTGTGTTGTGGAATTTCTTCTTTTTTCCTGCGCTTAGAACAAACACCGCAAACTTTTTAATTGAAAAATCGCTGAAAGTTTTGATCCGGAACGAGGAAAGTGGTGCCGCCAAAAATTTCTCGATAAATAATCCCACGGCTCAAGTCCCTTGGGAAAAGTTGGCAGCGGAAGGAGGAAATTAAAACAAAAAATAAGGATCGTGTCTCGACAAAAAAGGGCTGTAACACGTGCTGTAAAGTGTTGCTCTAAATCAATATGTGGTGTATGCCGATGCAAGCAGCAGCTCTTGCAAGCAAATCCTCGAGGTCAGAGTTGAAGGTCAAAGAAGCGCAATTGCTCGCCAAATAAACGAACGTACACTGAAGGGACCTTCTTCGGTTGTAATGACGTCGTTCCGAGTCTTTGCACAGCCGCGCCAGAAATAATCCCTCGGTGGTTTTAATGGTTTTGCCATTTTTTCCTCGCCGTGATTAAGAAAGAAATCTCGCGCGGCTTTAACAGTGGTGCTGCCGTCACGTCCTCGGCAATATGGTTTGTTGAAGAGGCCGATTTTATTTGCCTCAAGTGTCATCCTTTAGTCTTTTGTATATTTTCGGAGTTGACGGTGCGATTTAGCAAAAGGCAGGCGGGTGGCCGCGCGAAGGGCGCTCTTAATGAGCCCGAGTTAAAGCTGAGGGTACCAAAATCAAAACTCATCATTTTTGCAATAATTTAATTTTCTTTTTAATGAACTATGAAAATTTAATTTTACTACTTTTCAATGTCACAATTGATAAATTATTTATAATATACTAGAAAGTAAAAGATCACACCAAAGTTTAATTATTGTATCAAAAGTAAGCGTTTAATCGGAGCATCCGTCCGTCATACATTTCACAATCAGGCGGAGTACCCATTAATGAATGGAACTATGCGCAGGCACGTGTAGCAATTTCCGAAAATGTCACTCGGAGAGATGGCGAGCGGTCGTCGAAATAAAATGTGGGCGACCGTAAAAGAGGCTTTATTATTTCTGCCGGCGAGAAATGCCGCGAGAAAATGTTTACACTGCGGCTCTGGCACGCCTTTTCTTCCTCGAGGCAACGTAGACGTCTGCCCTGAACACTTTTATCATCAACTGCAGAAATCACTACGTACAAGGTTTTCATGAACGACTTAAATTTTAATTCTTTCTTACAATAAAATTTATAAAAAAACATCTCGCCAAAATGTTAAAAAATCGGCTAAAAAATAATTTTTTGATTATTCTCTCAATTACAACGTTTTTGCCAATTGCTTTATACCATAGTGCTTTATCATCGATTTTGTGGTTCTTACAATTAATAATAAAAATGAAGTAAATTTTGCTTCTGCGACTGGCTTAAAAACATGTATAATTTTATATGAAACATTTTTGACTAAAAAAATCTATTAGTTGTTAAAATCAGTTAAAACAATTTTCTGTGTTGCCCTACATCAGATTGCATGATCAAACAAAATATAATTTTACAAATTTTAATATTTTAAATTAAAAAATTCAAACTATGAAACTTACAATTAATGAAAAGGAACCACTCAAAAATCACTGGTACTAATTTACATAGATCAATGGGTACACGTCATACTAATAAACTTCAAGCTAAATTTCATTCAAAATCGAAAGTTTTATGCTCTCTTAAAATTTTTGACTTGACACCTGGAAGTTTTTTCCGCTACTCAAAGAAAGCATGTAATGCACAGCTCGCGTCTTGTTGCGCTCCTTGGTGGCCAACCCCCTGTTTAATAATTCATTTGGCGAGCAACACACGAGCTGACGTGCACAATTTAATTACACCGCGAGTCGGCGAAACTTGCTCGGCACCGGGCACGCCGCTTTGCGCTCGTTTCCTGCTGCATGCTTGCGAGTTATGAAGATAAATTGACCCCGACGTGGCAGCGGCGAATGCAGAAATTTCTCGTTTCACTACAGCACCGCCGCTTTTCCTCAAAGCGGTTAATTTTCGCAGTTTCCCGACTGCAAAAAATTTTTATTATAATTTTTTTACGCAAATATGTTAAAAATGGTGGAGTGACATTGTATTGATGGAGCGCGGTGACTTAGAAAACCGCACCAACCCACATGATCTCGCGCCTCATTGCACCTGCCTTTGTTTCGGCGCGGGCGAACTGATTGCCCGCTTTGATTATTAATTAAGCTGGGTGAACGGGGTCGCGCTCTCTTGTGTGACTTGATCCAAGTTTCCGTCGATAAAACGTGGCAAACCAAAAAGGAAATCCTGGTGGTTTTGACTGTGGCGAGTTATTCATGTGATAGTGCGGGCTATTCGCGAGTTACTCGTTCTTTCTTGGAATCTCCCATACATATCCCCGTCGTACTAAAACACACGTGCTTTAATTCAAGAAAAAATGAGTTTTGTTCGTGAATTATTTCACCTTTTTATGGCGAGGGGTTCTGATATACAATCAATAAAGACACTTTGCAACTAAAGTTAAGGGAATGAGATTCTGACGCAATTTTCTGAAGTAATCTTTTGTTATGAAATATTACAGAATTTAGAGAATGAAATGTAAATCACTTAAGTTACAACAGTATGATTAAATCTTTTGCAATATTTCTTAAATTTTCCCATATAAATTCTAAAAACATGAACAATTTTATTCTAATTTTTTTAAAGTAAAATTTTTTGTGAGTAACCAAGGTCCGCTCGTCAGAAAATTTCGATTGTTGTCGAGCTCTCTGATTGGGTACAACTTTACTTGTACCCAATCAGAGAGCTCAAACAACAATCAAACCTTTTTTCATTGTTGCTGATGAGCAGACCTTGTGAGTAACAAAAAATCACTAAAAAATCTTTATGATTTTTAAAGTAAAGTTTTATTTAAAGTATGTAAATTTTCGCATTTCCAAACGACTGATTTTTCAGCAAAAGTGAAGTGAAATATTCAACTGAAACTTTCGAAGTAACTCAAAATCAAAATGGAGTTGAATTATCATAAAAATGTATAATTATTAAATAAAAAAGGAATTATCAATATTTTCCATTTGCATTGGCTTCAAGGGAATTAAAGTTAAAAAATTGATTTTGGAAAAGATTTGTGAAAAAGAATAATTATCAATGTATTATGAAATTCATACAGTAAAGCAACCCTCTCAGTTTATTATCTTTCTGGGTGCAGCCAAAAAGTTTGTTTTCCGGAGTAGACGTCCATATACACGTTTCTCTCCTCTTCAGCCTTTGAACTCGTGTCTCTCGTTTTCTTTCTGTTCCAAAAATTGTATTTCCTTTCCCCATGTTTTCATGCTTTTTGCGTCAAAGCGGTAATTAACCCAATGTCATCCTTTGTTCACAGGAGCTGGAGAGTCTGGCAAGAGCACAATAGTCAAACAAATGAAGTAAGTTGATATTTGCTTTTCGCACACGTGCGGAACTTTGTTATGCGCCGGCACAACTCTGCTGCGACAACACTGCTTCATTTTGACGGCGAATTATTATTCAACACGTCTGTGAGCGTATTTCGCGAAATTGCCTCGCACCGTTTCTGAAATGAAATTATTCGAACTGTGACCTTTCTTTATCGCTCGGGGACAGACGCGTTGGATATCGCGCCGCCGATCAAAGAAATGATTTTGTCGCTTTTTTCACCAGAAATCCGTTTTGAGGCAATTGTTGCTGATGCGTTTGTTTGCTTTGCAGGATCATTCACGAGAGTGGCTTCACCTCGGAAGACTTCAAACAATACAGGCCGGTGGTTTACTCCAACACCATCCAGTCTCTGGTGGCTATTTTGCGTGCCATGCCAAACCCAAACCTTGCTATACCATTTGCAAATCATGAGAGAGAGGTGAGTGAAGTTTTTTTCGTTAATTTGTTGAGCATTTTTATTCCTATCAAATTTTGAAGTGTTAAAATTAAATAGAAAATTAATTTTTTTTTTAAATATTTCGATTGTAATATGACTCCTTTTTATAAGATGAAGTATACTATGTTAACACAATACTTTTGTGGAATTTAAAAAAAATTAATCAGTTCAACTGATAAGAAATGAGGAAAATGAATAAACAGATTATCAAACATTAGGCCTAACCTAACAATTTATAGAATCAACGCTCTGACGCATTCAGAGCTCACTAGAACCAACCGCATGTTTCCTCAGGAAACATCTCACTAATTCCATCCGATAATTTTAAGTGCACCGAGAGGTCAGCCGTATATGTTACTCTATTTGACAGCCCAAAATTACAACCCCTGGCAGCTCCAAAGGGTTGCTCGCCTACCCCTTTTCGAATATATGTACAAAGAAAGGCCTTTTGCCGGTGGGTTTTCTCATAAAACGGGCTGGATGGAATATTTTTTTATTTTATATAGGTGCACGGTTTACAACACACGGCTGTGCGGCGGGAGTGCGAGCGGCTGGCTGCCAGCAGCCCCGCGCTCTATTGTGTGTGTGTGTTTGTGTGACGTAAATGCTCTCGTCGTCCAATGCTGCAGGATATGACTCCATGTGTGCAGCTCCTCTCGCCGCGCGCGCGTGTGTGTATGAGGAGGAACGAGCGAACCCTTTGCTCAGCGTCTCCATCCACGGCACCAGAGGAGAGACATCAAAGTTGTGCCACATTCCATTACGCGCCCATTCGTCCCGGGGATGATTTTGCTCGCCGAGAAAAGAGTGAATATTAGCGCCTCGTGTGTTATTAAAACGGGAACAAAAGCAAAGCGAGGATGAGGAGGACAGAAAAGAGGGTTGGACGAGGAATCTATCCGAGTTGTCAATCGATCAGACACAGATTTGAATGCTGATGCTTTCAAACAAAGGAAAGACAGCTCAAGCTGAGTGTCCGCTCCATTTTGTGATTTCTGCAGTAATGGTTTAAATTTTTAACAGACGTTCAGATTCGAAAACCAATTTTTTTTTCTTTTAATCACTTGTAATTAAAATCTCTTGTCAGAAGAAAATTTAGTGTGAGAAGTAATTAAAAGTTTAATCTGTTACGTTTTAAAATAGTTATTTTATCATGAATTTTGTGCATTTTAAAGATTTTGATAGCTTTTTAGGTTGAAGAGTTTTAAATTCGTTTTTTAATCTTAATAAAAAAAACTGCTTTAATTATACTGAAATTTTTAAATTTCCTACAAATCACAGAAGTTAAGTTTACAAAATAAATAATACTGGACTTATAAATACACATTTAACTTATAACTTAAATTTAAACTTTTAATAGAATATAAAAAATCCTTGACTAAACCAAATATTAAAAGCAAGGAAGCTGTTTGTTTACGTAATTCGCTTTGGTTGTTAATTGATTTAGGATTACAGCCCTTTGAGAACGTTGCAGATCGTTTTATCACTTTCCCTTTCATTCAATCAGCGAGGAGCTGAACCTGAACTTCGAAATCCAGCCTCGACAAAGGGCCCAGTAATTGTTCATCAAACACAATGAGCGCTTTCTTTCGCAAATCCTGGCAAGAACAGAGCCGAAAATAGCCGTGGAAAGAAGAAGAAGAAGAAGCTGCAGCGAGGCCTGAAGCTCCTTGAAGAGTGAGATTAAAGAGAATTAAGAGACTCGCCTCAGAAGCAAATTTGTAATGAATTGCCCAGGAGAGCGAGCAGAGCGTATATAAAGTACATATAGGTAGGCGTCGCGTTTTCTGCACATTATTAAATCCTCTTTTGTGTTCTTTTCGCGGCACATCATTTGGCTGCTGGTCGCGGCCATTGTTCGTCGCGAGGAAAAGCAGGTGCCGCAATTTCCGCGGGCGTTTTCCCATCTTGGGCAGCACTCGACGACGCGGATAAAATAACACGCCAGTGACACCCCTCCGCTTTTTTTTAATTCATCCCCGCGGAAATTATTTCCAAAAGAGGGAGAGCGATGAATTGCGGCACACAAAAGAGAGGGAATTTTGGCGGCAAAGTTAACGTGCGAATTAATTAATGAATCTCGCGTGGGGTGTGGAACCATTCATTCCATTCTGTCGTCGGTGCGACCCGAGTTCTGTCATGTAGCCAACCGGTGACGGTGCACATATAAATATGGGTTTGCTTTCAACTCGTGAGAGAGAGGCTGCCGGCCTGGCTGAGGGCCTCTCGTCAGGCTGAGAATGGACCAGCTCTCGATCCATAATATGTGCATCGCTCACCGCCGCCTCCGAATCCATCCCATCTGCAAAACCGGGTCAAGAGACAATCAGCGGCGCAGCAATTAGCCGTGCATGGTCTATTAATTTGCTTTTGCAAATTCAATCACTGTAATTTGCGTTTGATAAAGCACTAATTTTCTAAAAAGCTTTTGTGATAATAAATTGAAAGAGCTTTAATTTCATTTTTATGTTTTTTTTTTTAAATTGGAAAGATTTTTTAGGACAATTGTTTATTTTTGCCAGAAAATACAATTTACAATTATGACGCGAAGATCCATCAAAATTTCAACTATGAACTTTTGGTCTCCTGGAAGTTTCCACCCTGCTATAAATTTTGCCTCTTTCCGGAGCATTTCCGCTGAGCTAGTGTTCAAATGTATGCCCTTTGCTTTTATTTTAAACCAATTGAAAACAGTAGGTGCTGATGAAAAAGGCGAATCTCATTTATAAAACATTCTGCACGCTGTAATAATGAACATTTGTTTGGGTGTGAAAAATCCACGTCCATTTTTAGCGCTTGCCATTTCCCACGGGCAAATTAAAATATTTACGGTACTCGCGAAAAATTAGCAAAGCAAAGGGCGCCGCGTGCTGTGTGATGTTATGACGTCGGAGGTGTGTTCTGTGTGCGTGTGCTCTTTTATTCATCACTGTCTCTTATTTGACGAGCTGCAAGGAGAGAGATTAAACACCTGAGCGAGAGAGAGGGAGGCTTTGTCTAAGCCAAGCGCCCATCAACATACTCTAGATTTTTATTTGTGCGTTTCATGCTGATTAATTTCACCCAGAGCGTGTCGAATCGGGATTAAGGGCCAATCTATAAACCCAAAGGCTTAACTAACGTGCTACGCTCTGAAACAAAATCTTCAGTAAAATATTAAACAAAAAGGTGAGGTTGGAAGTAAACAAGAGAGAGGAAATAAATTTAATCAATTTTATAATTTAATGTTGTTCACCCGCTGTTAAAGAATTAATCTGCAAAATTTGTTATACTTAATTTGTTACTTTGAAAATTTCATATTAAAGATTTCTTAAAATTGAAAATAAAAATCATGATATAAAATAGAAACTCTAATTTGTAATTTTTAAATATTTTGATTGGTAAATATTTTATGGCGATTTTCTGTACAAAAATAAATAAATATTTATTTTATGTTCAAATTTTGTGCTCGTTTCCTAACAAATTTGAGCTTGTAAAAGAAGAGGTGCAAATTACCTGCCGTTTCGCTTTATTTTGCCGGTGTTTACTCATTTAGAGCGCGCCGGCCGGCGTTTTTGCCTAATTAGCAGGACGCTGCTCCTCTCTCCGTCTCTCGAATGCTACGCTATTTGCAGAAAAACAAATCCTTGAAATCTGCTCTCTCGCAAGCGCGGGCGCCTATTTATACCGGTTTGTTTGAAACAAGGCGATAAAAATAGATAGCGTCGCCAAAATCAATCCAGCGCGCGAGGATTCCGCCCACGACCCTCTCGGAAGCGAGCGCAGAGATCGACACACAGCAACTCTCGGCAAACAAACACTCGCACGGCGGCGGCGGCGAGCTGATAATAGATAAACTGTTGAAATGACAAGTGCGGGAGTGACGTCACACACAAACTGCTCGCCGGAGCATTCCTCCCGCAGCGCTAATTCATCAATGCTGCTTCACTCGCTGCTTCTTGTTTGCGGATTTCTGCAGCCTCCATGTATAATATCTGGGCCGCTTGCGTCACTCGCAAAAACTTAATGTGTGCCCCACATTATATAAAGTAACCAAGTCTGCTGTTTTCCGCTGCATTGTGATTTAGCATACATGGGTGCGCTCAACAATTTTGCGCTCGCGCTCGCGCTCGCGATCACTGGCAACACTGCGCTCGCGCTCTGCGCTCGCGATCAAGATTTTGAAAATGTTGCGCTCGCGCTCTGCGCTCGCGCTCAAATTTTTAAAAAGTCTTGCGCTCACGCGTTGCGCTCAAAAATATTTTTATCCGAAGAAAAAGTGCGACTTTTTAGACAATTTTTTAATATATATATTGTTATAACAAAAAATACATCGGCAATTGGAAATGATAAAGTTGAAGTTAAATCACCAAAATTGGGATCAGTTTTGGTTTTTGGTATAAAAACACAGTTTTTCATTACAATTTTTGATCAAATTCGGGAATTTTTACTTTTGGTTTGAGCGCAAAATGAGCGCAATTGAGCGCTGCGCTCAGCGACCAATGCGCTCGCGCTCTGCGCTCGCGCTCACGATTTTGAAAATCGTGCGATCCCGCTCTGCGCTCGCGCTCATGAGCGCAGAGCGCGAGCGCAGATCGCAGAGCGCAAAGTGCGCTCTGCCCATGTATGTGATTTAGGCGAGCGGAAAAGTGGCGCAGGGGGAGGCAGGCTTTTCCAGACCTTGGGAAATTTGCTTAGTTAGCTCGAGGAATGCGCGGCACAATGGAATCCTTTCAATGGGCCGCGCGGATCTTGAACGAGAACAATGGTGCTGAATATGGAACTTTGCGGATCGCTGTGATTGACTAGCACAGTCAGTTCCTGGAGGTGATTTCTAAAGAAGCTTTAATATTAAAAGCAGTTCCCAGAGTCTTATCACAAATACGATTTTTATTGGAGAAATTTGAATGAACAATTTAATTGGGTCTTCCCAGTAAGAAGTGAGAACCATTATTTAGTGTTGAAAAAGTTTGCCAGGATAAATTTCTCGAAATTCTAAAAAAAATATAAATCTCTTTTAGGCTTGAATTCTAATCAATTTCATACGTTTAAAAGTTTTAGTTTCAAATAATAAATTTTATAGGTTATCAAATACCTCTTTCCTTAAAAAAATATTAAACGAATAATTTTAGGAATAATTAATTCTCTGCTACTACGGTGCTCCTCACCTGCAGATGCTTTTAGAAATAAAATTGCATTTCAATATAATTGGATTTTCAAAGTTTCCAAAAAAAATTAACTTTCTACGCCGGGAAAATCTCCTTAATCTTTAATAAAACTTTTTGGCATAAAAATTTAACGACTGCGTTTATTCAGGTACGCAGCCGTGGATATAAAAAGCAAGTTTGAATTAGGTACTTATCACGACCATTATCTCATCTTTCCCAACTTGGTCGGTCACACGAGTGTGTCTTTTGCGGCGTCTCGAGTTTCTTCTCCTTGCTTGCGTCCTCTATGTATGAGCGCGAAACCGCCGAGTTAGTTTTTGCTGTATTGATCCTGGCCCGAAGCAACTGCCTGTGATGGTTGTGCACACATTAATTACATTTTCGCACAGACACGCGCTCACACATACACAGAGAGAAACACGCACTCTCTCTGCGCGAGATAAGACGTTGGGAGTTAAAAAGGGTGGAAACAACCGAATGAACCCGCGTGCACGATTCGGCAAGAAACGCGACCCAAAGAGAGAAAACTATATCCAAATGGATTCGCAAGCTCGTTCTTCCTGATTTAATTATTTCAATTATGACGATGTCTGCTTTTTACTGGTGCTGCGCACTCGAGACTCATTTGCATTATTTATGCGGTCGTGAAATGAAATTGTCAGAGCCTGCTAACGAATCAGATTTGGAATTGTAATTGTTGCGCATTAATTGGCTGCTGGCATATATGGATTAATTACTTTCGTTTAGCGCGTCATATGTGCCCTTAGCGTGCAAGTTAAACAACATTGATTTTTTATGTCAACATTTTATTATGTTTAATGCTTGTTAAAATGGGACTACGCTGATGAAATTCAAATTATATAATGTGTGTAATTTAATTTCGTGCAATAGAAAAAAGATAAAATTAAAAAAAAAAATAGATCTGGCTTGATAATTTTTTAGGAACAAAATTTCGTTGATAATATCAAATTCAATAGAATTGGAGCTAAAAATTTATGGTTTTAGTTAAAGTTTTTATGATTTTTTCACAAACTCATAATTTTTCAGTCAAGATTAGGCCATTTAAGTATAACAGCCAGCAATCGGGTTTTTTTCCAAATGACGCTAAACAATGCTTCTTTCTTATTTCAGAGTGACGCGAAGATGGTGTTCGATGTAATTCAGCGCATGGAGGACACAGAGCCTTTCTCGGAAGAGCTCCTGGCAGCAATGAAGAGGCTGTGGGCGGACGCGGGAGTCCAGGAATGCTTCGGCCGCTCGAACGAATACCAACTCAACGACTCAGCCAAATAGTGAGTGTGACATTCATTATAACACAACCGCCCCATTATTCCGAGAGCGAAAAAATAATAATATGGCCCCCGTCCCAATTGGAGGTATGCACCTGGCGTGACGGCGCCGACGAGCAGGTTGCATACCTCAAAAAGAGAGTGAGATTGGATTTCGGAACGAGTGACGCAAAAGCGGTGACGTCTGACTTTTTAAAAGTTGATTACCTTCCAAAAGCGTCTCGCTTTGTACCCGTTACGGGCGTGTATTTGTCAGTTCTCAGCAAGAGAAAAGTCTTCGGCATTAGGGAAATTAAATTTGTTCGAGAGTACTTTTTTTCGCGTTACTCTCCAAAATTGGCGCTATTTCCATCCAAGCATCACCGCGACGCGAATATCTTATCCATTAGGGCGCACACAAGGAAACGGCGGTGCTCATTCGCGCTTGGCAGCACATTTACTTAGTTTCGCACTTCTGCGAATTTCACCAAACGTACATAGCAGCCATGTTTGTCGGCGACAACAATGTGACAAACGGCCGGGCAGAAACGCGTCGCCCGTCGTCTCCCACGCGCCCAGATAGACCGTCCGGCGATCGGGGAGGTGAACAACACGGAAAACTGGCACCGACAGCGTTTAAATCCGAAACTGCCAATCACGAAGTTCGAAATAAAATTTCCGGGTTTGGGATTAACAAACAGTTTTTTCCTTTGACATAAAAGCCAATCATTGACAAATGTAATTTGGCATTTGCAGGAATATATGGAAAGAGGAAATTCGGATAAGCCATACAATTTCATATTATTTATATAGGGCTGAGGAAATGGAAATATTTTAATTATTTTATCTTTGTTAAAGTTAAAATTTAATTTGATTATTTGATAAAAATTCCAAATAAAAATGAAGTGTGAGAATTTATTAAACTTTATGATTTTTAAACAATTTGTCGTTAACCCGCGCCTTTGTCTTAAAATATCTCTGGTTATTTATTCTAAGACGACTGTTGAATATAAATCAGGCCCTGTTGTGCCCAAAGAATCGCAGTCTCTTGTTCTGCCGAAATATCCAAGGAACAAAGCCGCGGTTAATTGGCATTTTGAGCGCACGGCAAAAGGCCCAAATAATCCGCCGTGCTTTCAAAGAAGCAAAACAAAAGCGCATCAAAGTAGGTGGGAGTGTGTTTTGCGAGACTTGCTTATGGGCGCGGGTTAATTAGGGACGCCGAATTCGCCGAATTGTTTCAGGGGAGAGAGAGCGATTTTGCAGCGCTTTAAGTTAAACTCGGCGGCGCACGTCGGTTGGTATTATGGCAGCAGGCCACTCTGGGCGTGATCGATATTTTGAAGCCCGCGCTGCCTGCCAGTCTATGCCTGCTCTTCTCTCTCTCCGCTCTTTCTCTCGTCGCAAGCAGCCGCGCCCATTAAGGCCCGAATTCAGGAAATTGCTGCCCATTTTTCCATTCCTCAACAGCTGGCCGCGACAATTAATGGCTCTTCTTGCTCAATTTTTTTTCTTCTTCTTATTCTGTCTCTGGTCGTGGATGAGGAAGAAGTAAAAAAAACCTCCGATGGGGTTTTGATTCAAGCGCCGTGGGTGGATTCTAATGGGGCCTGTTGGCGCAAAAAGACGGTGGCGCGCTGCATGCTATGGATTTATACTTAGGTACAAATTGCGATCGTTTTCGACGCTCGTTATCTCACCGAAAGCAACTCTTGGGCAAACAAATTCTGTCGCGAAGATGAATGCGATGCCCTCGTTATGAAATACGTCGTTAGGCCGCTGAAAATAAGAATAAGAACCCTCGGTAATTGGCGTTTTTATTTTTTTATTCTCGATACTATCCATCTACCTTCCGCGTTGGAAATAAGAGCGAAATCAATCCATCACTTTTGTTTGCATAAGGGTGTAGTTACATGACGAACTCGGTTCTATTCCTGCAGATGAGAAAAGATGGGAATAAATTTTTGTTATGTGAATTGTGATTGTTTCCATCATTATGACAAAAATAGGTCTTTTGATCACAAAATTCTATCGATATGAAAAAAAAGCTATTGGTACAACAATTCTAAATTTTCCAAAAATTGATACCATGAATAATTTATTTGCTTGCATCTTTGAACAAATTCAACTCTTCAGATTAATTTCAAGTTTAGCTCTTCTTAATGTAATATGATTTATTTATTTTTATTCTTCTCCAAATTAATTTATTTAATTTAGTGGGAAAAGAATAACATATTTCCAATTACGGCTTCAAGAGCCTTTGATCTTGAATTACAAGAAGAAATTGTGTAAATATTATTTGGTTTTCAAGTAAGACCGAGTCTCTGTATTATTCTGAAAATGAATTTGTATTGATTGCAACAAAATTTCTGAGAAAAAAATATGTGACTTTGAAGCCGAATCTAACAATTTTTTTCACCGTCACTTCAGTTTGTATAAACAAAAAATATTAATGAATGCACCTTTTGTAACGTGCTACACCTTTTTGTTGCCCACTGTGAGCCAATCCAACCTCGCGTAACCCTAACGTGGCTTGGCCAATCGATAAAAGTGTCGTGCGAGCACACGAGAGACCGCGATAAGACGTTTAGTACGAGCATAGAGAAAGGCCAATCGTGTCGTTTATTGTACTCCTTAGCCGTTCACTGATACGGCACACTCGTCGTTTTCAATTACTATTGGAATCACATTCAAGAGCTGAAAAGAACAGCAGGAATCTGATAAAATGCAAATCGACCGTCTGGACATGCGTGCAATAAATAATTAATTCCACTTTCGCGTGCACCGCCGACTCGTTACTTAATTGACATGTTCATATCCCAGCAAGAGGGGGCAAAAAAAACAAATAACTCCTTTTTATCGCAACGAGTCGATATGTTAGACGTTGCGGTTCTCGGCGGCTGAATTAAATTTCCTAATTAATGGTTGGTGTGTTAGCAAAATTATGTGAATGCTTCGGGAACAGGTGGGCTCTTGTTGATGAGTGTAATTTACGGCCTTCGGCACCTCTGCCATGTGACATTTCGCTCTCGCGGCGTGTTTTATATATTTACATACTCACTCGACTCATTTCACATGCAGCCGTCTATTAAATATCGCCACGGCGCACTCGTTCGAAAAATTGGCCGTGCGAATATCGAGCTGCTTTTGACAGAGGAATGTCTGTCCCTTTCAAAGTTCGCCCGTCGCATATAGATTTCCACCAAGAATTATATAAATGGTGGTTCTTTCTTCAAAGGTGCGGTGAATGGAGCCCCTTTCTCTCTCTTATTCCTTTCTTATTTTCGGCAACCGCTTGATTTATGGACGTTTTCCCGGGATATCGAATAAATCTGGTGGACGGAATCGCGTTACTTTAGATTCGCAGAGGCAATAAAACGGAGGTTAAAGGAATAAAGAAAGAAAGGAACTCTTTTCGTCGACAACAATGACGAATGTTGTTCCAACATTTACGAGTGTCAATCTAGGCAGAGGGAATTTAAAAATAGCAAATGTAATCCTGAAGAATGCAATCTGCAAATTCTCTTCTCTGAAATCATCACAAGGCAATGATTTGTTTGTTTCTCAATCACAATTTTTGCTTATCATCAAGAGTAAAATTATTTAAATGCTTAAAGCAACCAAGTGTTTTGCTACATAAGAAGTTTTTTTTAAATTTAATCAAATTCATTCAGGTCATTTTTGCCTTGATCTCATCTTCAGACCAATCCAATTGAACCGTTTGTTTTTTTTGTCCAGATGGACTGCTTCTTGTATACATCTTTCTTCAATAAAATCATATTAAAGATTTTTATTTTTGCAAATTGAGAAAAAAAAATCGTTTGAATGCGTCTCGGTAGTTGCAACCTTTTCATCCGCAGAATCTTTTCAATCAGAAAAACGCCGTCGGCTGTTTATCCCAGTCGGTTTCTCCAACATCCCCTGGAGTCACGTTTTTCGGTCGCAAATTTCGCGTATGAAAAGAAGAGAGAGAATCAAGCAAGGTGGTGAAGGAGAAACGTCTTATTTTGACTTGGTGGTCTGCGCTCCGTATAAGGAGTCGCGTTGGTCGACCGTCACACGCACTTGAAGCTGATGGCCCTCGTCATCAACTCGTTCATCTCCCATTACTATTTCTGCGCTCGCCTTTCTTTATTTCTTTCTTTCATCCGATGTGCGGAAAAGGAGAAGAAAAGAGAGGTGTGTGAGCGCGACGACCTCCGTGTTTAGAGAAAAACGTGCGTGAAAGAAAGGGCGAGGTGAACCAACACGCTCTCATTTTGTGCGCAACTGTGCATGAGTTGAACGCAAAAAAAATGCGGTCGTTTGCAGCTATCATTTGAGCCACAATTGATAGGTCAACGCAATTCTAAGGGTTTTTATGCTCCAAAAAATTGTATAAATTTTTCTAAAGGATAAGAGTGTATTGAGGCCCTTTTCTGATAGCGCTAAAATGGCACGTTTTTATTATTCCAAACACCCCTTTTAGCCATTCATGTCCATGGTATCATGATTTATTTTTTAAACTTCACTAAATTCTTTTATAATTAATTTTAAATGATTTTTATTCAGACCCGATTGATCTTGAAAACATGTTTTTGATCAGTATTTTTTGGAACTTTAAGTTTAATATTATTTAATTCTTCAGTCACTTGGCAACATTTAAAATTAATTTAAAAAAAAAATGGTGCTTATGGATGAAATAAAAATAATATTGATTGTTCGAAGGAATTCTTATAAAAAAAATAGAATTATTTAGCCGTTTTTAAACATTCTACAACGGAAAAACGTGCAAACCCCTTTAAAATGAATTGAAGTGTAAAACCTTTGGTACTCTTTCTCTGTCAACACGGAATGCTGGAATGCGTCCATGGAATGTCACTTGCCGTGTGCAACACCTTCTTTTACCATTTCGTCACCAGCCCTTTCAAGAAGAAGTAGCAGATCGATATAGGAGTGAACTAACTACCTGTTGTCACTCGTCGAATGGACGGACGGACTTAAAATATATATCTTTTGTCCTACACTCGTCGTGCCAAGGTTGT